CTTATGTGGGACCTAATTGCCCGTATCCATGATCGCTAGCTGAAAATTACGGGTTCATTAGGTCATTAACACATGCTTATGTGCAGAAAATGAAGATAAAAGCACAACAATAACAAGCTTCCTCCTCCTTCAACGATGCTAGTTGTCAAAAACTGAAACAGAAACTGAATTGACCATGGTCGAGCAGAGGTGTATTTAGAAAAATATTGCTGCTACAGCATACTGGACGGACTTTAACGAAACAATGTGGAAGAACGGATAGACTCCAAGACATGAAAACAAGTAATAATGCCCAGACACGGATATAGATGGACAAAATAGTAATAGTTAATTAAGAATACAACCTACTTGCAACCATGAAACTAAAACTAACCATTATAAAAATGGAAAAGTATATTGCAATAAGAAAATCCTTACCGCATTTACCAAAAATCTAACCAATAATGAGCTAACTTTGTAAATAGATTGTTAATCTGTAATTGGTTGCCTTGTGGAACTATTCACATCAACTAAAAAAGGTTGTCAGACACAACATAAATAATCAAAGATTCAGTTAAATGTTCTTAAATTATTTTTTGGATGACAACATAACATCTTGTTATTCGATGCATGACTAAAATAAAAATAAATTTTAAGAATGGAAGCTAATAATTCTCTCTTGAGAAATGTATCTGTATATCAACAACCACTAATTAAAGAAGCATTGCTTCTAAAAACATTTGCGCGATTGTCCTAAAATTGGCAAGGCCGAGTTTTTGTTTTCGTGGAAATTTTCAAATTCATAATATCAACAAACATCTAAATGGAGATGGCCTCCATTAGGAATTAATGGAACGAGTACCACTTTGTTCTGTGTATTTATTGCAATAACTGTCATTTGGGTATATGCATTAAGGTTTACTTGAAATAGTAATATCTTTAAATTCATTAATATAAATTGCATGGCAATTCGGTTATTATTTGACTCGCACAATTTCAAAGAATTTTTTTTAAAAAAGGGACAGTGACTTAAATCTGGAAATATTTTCCATTAATTTTGATGGCCTTGCGTAATCTTTTAAGTAACGTACAAATGCCATCGTGAAAAAATTCGCAGAAAAATTTACGCTCATCGTCTAGAGTTTTGAAAATTTTATCTCCTAAGGCGTGTTGTATTATCCGAGAGAAATGGTAGTTGAATAGGGCCAAGTCTGTTTAATATTCCACATATGAGGAAACCTTCCACCTTGGCTTCAAGAGGCTCTTCTGAGCAGCGTAAGTAACCTTAGTTTTAATCTTTCTAAGTAACATCATGACTTGTTTGCAACCTTGCTCAGAAAATGGCTTTTCCTTATTAAGTTCTACTCTCAGTTTGTTCAGTTGTCAGTTGTAGCGTTTTGCTGTCTTTATTTAACCAGATTTAAGGGCATGTAATAAATAACGCCCTTTATGTCTCAGGAGAACCTTCTTCAACGGGATGTCGTATTTCGGCATCGTAATGAATTGCCAGGGACCTTCTCACAACATTTTACGTTTGAGGTCCTCGTACAAAATCCACCTTTTATCGCCACAAGAATTTCCTTTATACTGCCAGGAGGCAAGCAGAGTTAAAATTATGTGTTTTTATATTGTCCAAGTTGAGTTTGATGAGCACCCTTAGGCCGAAACTAGCAGGTTTTAAAAATTTTTGCCATTAGGTGTAAAATGCTAAAAATGGCTGTTTGGATGACTTCTCACTGAATTCCAGCCTCTTGTTGCGTTGGCGTTGATTGTTTATTCAGTAGAGCTTGTACCTCCGCATCTTCAAACTTTTAAGGCTGTTCCAGGGCATTTGGCCACTAATATTGAAATCACTGCATCTAAAACGATTTTATCTATAAGTTCACGTTTTCTAAGACACAGTATCGACATAAATAACGCTAAAAGTTAATTTCCATGCTTTGGAAGTATTTTTAACCTGTTGGAATTTGCCAAATGTGCTGCCTATAAGTTGACATTGTAAATTCTGCCCATTTAAAAGGTTATGTAATTCACATAGACTTGCCATGCGGTGTTCTGGATCAAGCTTCCATAGTTCTACTTCAAATATAATTTCAACCGCGACAAAAATATTCATTTAAATTACGTCATATATCTAATATTTTGGGATGTAATTGAAGGTCACCACTAAAAAGACCCCAAAACATGCCTGTGTTACTCTTGAGAAGGAAAACATCTTCGATTATAGATCTCGCAGATCTCTTGTCTTTATCACCCAGAGTATTCTTGTAACAATTTAAGAATATCATTTTATTTTGCTATCTATACCATTGACTAACAAAAGTCCTTAAATTATTTTATGCGTAAAGTTTATAGTGTTTGCACAAATGCACAACATGGGTAAAATATAAAATTGTAATGCACCTTAAGGTATGACATCATGTACTCTTCGTAATTTGACTATGTTAGGTGAACAAATAATCTTCGCTGCTGTTCTGGTTTTTTTAATGACGTCATCCATGTTCGCACGTGTGCATGCGCACAAGTCGGTTTTGAGCGAATTGCAATGGCTGTTGCTCTACTTTTAATTAAATGCCTATTCAACTTCTGCGTATTCTTGGCTTCTCGGTATAAATTTACGCAACTTATGGTAAACATGTCGAATTTTTTTACAAAAAAGCCTTGTGGAGGAATGTGTTTTTAAACATTAAAATACTTTTTTATTTTTTTTTTGATTCCATTTTAGTACTGAATTTCATTTATAAATTCACGCCTTTAATCTAACTTAACACTAATATTTTAGATAAATTCAACGGCATTTCATATCGCCCTTGAGCATAACTAGGATAGCAGTAACTTAGATATCTTTAAAGCTATTGCTGAAATCTATGCAATGAATAGTGTTGAATATTGTTCACCCGCTATGTCTCTGCATTATCTTATTTAATACGCCGTTTTCCATCGAGCTTGTTAGGCAAGCAGAATTGACAGCAAATTTACGCCTGTGCATGTACGACCGTTACTCACTTTAATTCATTGTGAATTGCATTGATTCACTCTCTTTAATCCAGTCACTCCAGTCTCCGGCACAACATCGCCCTTTTCACACCATGTCCCCAGCCGCGTGGATCGTCAACTCCCCATCATTACCGATAACGATTATCCTCACACCTAAGTCCTGATGCCAGCGCATCTTTGACTCGCATATCTGAGGTGTAAATGCAAACTCGCAAACGCAACACACGACAAAAGACACCGATTTTGTTGAGCTCTGAAATAAACGTCTAGGTCCAGGTCCTCTCCAGTTTTCTCCTTCATCATAGGTAGCAGGGCAGCGTAATCTGACCAATTTTAACGCAGTGGCCTTAGCGTAATTTAAGACCTCATGCTGGGCCCAATCAAGTCGTTTGACCAGGTCGAAATTTGCATTTTTATCATTTTACCCAGAACGCATCAGTCAATCAAAGCACATAAGACATGCAAAAAGTTTAATTTGTGACCAAGAGTCAACTTTAATTTGTTGTGCCTTGCCTTCTGCAAACTTTTTCTTGTCTTAACGGGCCACGGTTGAAAGTAGTGGTCTTTGCGTGATTTGGGTCCGCATGATGGAGACCTCGTGCCTAATGTCGAGTTGTGAAAGGCAACAAAGTATATAACTGTCAGATTATCTCCGTTAAACAAAAAAAACACCAAACTTAAAGCACACACAACAGTCCAAATCGTAACACAACTGATAGTGATATTATATTACAAATGGGATAAAAGTTCAATTAGTCTGATACCCCGAAATACGTCCTTTGACAAAGTCGTTACTACTTATCACTCCATTGAAATTTCTGAAAGAAATCAACATATCCCAGCTAAGATACGAGCACATGACCACAATGCATAAAAAAATTGGCAATTTGTTTCAAAATAATTTCAGAGTTTGAATCGTTTAAATTCTTTACTTCCACAATTCCCGATTTTTCTATAAAAATATCGTTGATAAAATGTATTGAGTTTGCTACAAACCTGTAAACATTTTTTGTCGATGAAAGTTTGTTTTCTTCTGGCTAAATGAGTGAACATATGTAGGTGCTGGTGGAAAAAAATAGCCCAGAAAATTGTTCCCTAATATAAACCACCTTTCTTCAAAATTGTCATAAATTCAGAGAACAATAAGGCATTAATTACCAGATCACTACATTATAAGGGATAATGGGTTTTGCGCACATTCTTTAGAACCACTTAAGCGAAAAAGCAAGCAATTTTTGCAAAAAATCGATTTGATTCGGTCTTCTTGCTGAAAAAAAGCGTTTAGCGAGGTTTTTCCCATGACTTATCGAAAGAATAATTTGTTTCTGACAAAGCCATTGTTTGCTGTGAATTAAAGGGGAATGCACTGGTAAAATTCCGCATTACTCAAAGGCTGAAGTAGAAAAATTAAATTTCCAAAACATATTTTCTTTTCAACAAAAGTGGATTAATAAAAGCAACGATAATTATTTTGACAAACATGATTTTACATTAAATGATTTGAAAAATGGGTGCTGTTTTGAAAATCGGTTATTTTTTAATCGCTTTTAATGTAATGACTCCAAAGGCATTTCAAAATTTTCCCTTATGTGTGATTTATTTCCAGCAATTCGACCTATCGCTGTATATTCCTAATAAACAAAAGTATGACGATTTTTTAGAATAATTATAATGTGAGCGATGATAAGCCTTTCGCAAATGCAATAATTTTTCTCTGGGTTTCGACCCTATATTGTAGAAACAAAAAAATCCTTATAATTTACAAAATCGTGTAAGATGAATTAGATATAAATGTGGTACATTACTGAAATAGCAGCATCCTTTGTCTTTGGCTTCAAAAATGTTTTCTAAACGTTTGTTTATACTAGTGCTGACGGCCACTAACGCGGAAATTTTCAATTGCTGAAATACAGCTGGTAAAGTTGTTATTGCGTCTGTCGGCCAGTCGTTGCTTAGAGTTTGTACGGCGATTAACGGTTTAATCCTTCTTAGAAGAATAGATCCTTTCTTTTTTTGTTCTGGGAATGTCCTCATTCACCGAAAACGTACTATCTTCTGACCACAAATATGTGCCAGCTGTTGATTCCATAACCCATGGTAAATCCTCGGTGATGCAAACTCTCGTCATGTAGATTCGAGTGCTTCAACATCTGAATTTTTCAAGCTGTATCGTTCAGTACCTGAAAATGGTGGTGCATCTCCATCATCCCCTCCAAACACTGCCATTTCCGAATCACAAAATGTGAATGTACAACAAAAGTTCCAGTCTGATGTAGTGGAAGCGTCCCTTAGTAATCATTTTTTGTTTAGAATAATACTGTAGGTAACTTTGAAAAATATATTGACTCAGAAGGTGGACTTAAAAGTGGTAGTTATCTTTCGGAACTAACCAGCCAATTTAGGCATTGCTTCAGAATCATCCTTCTCTTCTGTGCCCTACGACACCTTCGGTGGGAACCTCGGCAATTCATTCATTAGGTATAAATCGGTCTTAATGTCACGTCAAAACACTCTTATTGCTAATGACGTCCATTATTTTGTATGAACACATTAGACGTAAGATTTTTCGGAATCGCTGACCCGTCTTCAGTTCTTTGAGCCACTCGGGTTGCCCGTCTCATCATATGGATTTTTTTGACTCGGGTTATTTATTTTCCTTTTTGCCGCTAATCCAATTCATAATGATCACTTTGAATTTCCTTTTTACCACGTGTAATCAGCGCCAGTCCTTTTATTCCTATGCGGGTTTTAAAAACGCCAGACTTGTTTATTTTGTAGTTGGAAAAAGTCGGATTTCCAATCTCGGAGCCGGCTCTCTGTCGGCGATCAGGTATCAGGCTCGCAGTTCGTGGGTTTGCATCCTGAGGTACTGGATTTTAGTAATGCGGGTTCTGCCTCTGACTTTTACGTCCAACCAAGGCTGCCGATAAACAACTGCGATCTAGAAAATTCAGCGGAGGTTAATTTACCGAAAGAATGTCAAGGTTCGTCTTGGTGCCCTGCATCATGGGGGGAACAAAACCTTGGGTCAACAGAAAACAAAACAGGTTTGGACTGGGATAAATCGTTACAGGACCTACCATCGGGTGTGGATTCACTTTTTCCACACTCGGAATTCGAATACACTTGGCGTTGCCGGACGGAAAGCAGTCGTGATGATTTGTCGCCCCACGGACGGGATCCGGTACGTTTAATAACGATTAGGCCACGTTTTTTTTCTTTACGGCAGCGTAATGTACTTTGCTGGGAAGGTATTTCATTATCTCACCCATGTTGATACTTGAAGTTGACCTCCTGTTCTAGGTGTTATGGCCCAACATATCAAAATGGAGTGGTATTACCTGGGATGCCTATTGAAGCCCAGTTCAACTGGAGCTGAATTCTTGATGGCTTTTCTGGCAAACTATTCTTTGTTCCACCCGATTTTCGTTCATATTTCAATATTTTTGGGCAAATTTGACCGAAATTGTTTGCCCTGGTACACATTTTAGCCGTCATGCTTCTTCTTTACTCATGTTCCACGAACTACATCTTTGCTTCAATCGAACTCAGTTCCTGTTTAAATAATCTGGAAAGTCTACGTCCTCTTCATGTTAATTTTGACTAGTGGCCGCCATTTATTTTTTCACTACGCAATAGTAATTTTAAGGTGTTTTTGTTACCGTTTCAAGGGTTCTAGTCGGTCGGATCAGGGCATTGTCGGGGGTTCCACTTCCCATGCCCAGCAAGATCACCAGATCCCTCAGAAGCGAAGAGGGCGCAAATTTTCCGCTACTGATTCTTCGCCAGTGGATGTTCCCGTAGAAGCCAAAGCCAGGGATGAAAGCAGCGGTATAAACCTGGCCCCTGGACACGGTCTTAGTGCTGATGATTTTGATGCGACCACGCGTCTCGCCAACGAAGTTGCGCAAATGGGTTTTGTGGCGAACTCTTCATTACAATCCCTTCCCACTTCCGATGCCGCAGTACTCAATCAGGTTAGTTCAGTTCTACAAATGGTTTGTGAGACTTATGCGAGTCAATTTTCTTTCTCATTTGTGTTCATTCCTGCCGTAACTTCCGGACAGTGCGGTGGTGAATTTGGCTTTTTGGACAAGTTTCACTCGGGAATGGAGCTGTAGACTGAAATCTTAATAAGTCATTGTTTTTTTATACTTCTATTTCCTCGAGGCTTTTACTTCATTCCAAAATCTCCAGCAAGCCTGAATTGTACATAAACTGCTTATTTCCCGAAAAACGTTGCAATAACAGCCTGTTTTAATTGTATTCTTTACCCTTAATATGGGTCGCTGATTGCAACTTGTGTTAACTGCAGTAATGAAGTAAATTGAACTATGAATTTTAAGCCTGTGGTATTCCACAAATACGCATGGCAGTGATTTTCTGGTTTGTATTCGTTTTCCTGTAACAAGATGAAAGTTAATTTTTTTGCTCACGCATTATCTACAGTTTCCTTCTAGGGGACTGCGACTCCTTTATCTGCTTTTCCTGTTTTCTATGAAAATTGCGCGTGCTTGTGTTCGTCTCACTCAAGTACTTTCACTTAACTGGGCTGAATATACGGTCAGCTATGTCGCGCATTGCTTTTTTCTGCCACACTAATGTGAAACCGGTGTATATATCCGCTAGTTCAAGTACAACAGCGCAATTCACTTATAAGCAGTTGCCTGTTTCAAAGTTGTTGAAGTCGATGAAATGTCTCATTCAAGCATTGCTATCTTTCTACTCGAACTTACTCTCAATTTCCTCTGACACCAGTATTGTTGAGCCGGTCATCTTTTGAAGCTGTTTATTCCTTTGTTTAAAAAAGTTGATTCGCTTTAACGGTCCAACAGTAAGACATCGTCCAATGTAAACAAGTATATTCTAAACCTCAAGTACTTTAGTGGCTATTACGCTTTTCCATTACCTCAATTACACTGACCATCTTGATGACCACAATATTAACTTTGTTGCCTCAAATTCGACCGGCACTTGCATAAATAGGTAACCACTTATTAAACCTGCGCCATATCTAGCTTGGGCTTCTTATCGTGTGCAGGGTTTATCTGCAACCGAGAAATCGCGGTCGCTGGTGCAGCAGACACAGCCTCATATCTGGCCCTCTTCATCAATGCCTCAAGAAGACCCTTCTTACCGTGTCGTAGATCCTTTTATTTTCAACCAGAAAAACAATCTTTACCACAGCCATCCTGCCACATCTGACCAGTTCACCCAGCATGACACCTTCATGGCTTTCAGAAGTAAAACTGCTGGATTTTCAAAAGCTCAGGTGCGCTTCTCAACTGCATTATATCCTGTGTACAGTATTCACACCTGTTACGGATAGCAATAATGTGGCTGGCTCAAAATAATAGTCCTAGTTTAATCGAGCATCTATTCTTAACATTCGACCACTCACACCCTCCATCACCGCCTCTACGTGCTAATCGTTTTCTGCGTGGTGCCACCTGCGTTTTTAAATGTCTTAATTGCAAAAATATCAAGGTCGTGTAGCATGCTATGATGAGGTCCAGTATCGCGATCAATAAACCTGCTTCTCTATTTTTCCTATGCTTGTCTGAGCTAAACAAACCTCTAATTTTAATAGCTGACCGTCTTCCCTTCTCTAGCTTAAATTTGCATGTACTCAAATTCCTATGAGTGTCACACCAAAAGCTCGCTCTTTCACTATCCTTTGTCTATTTACGAAATCACCTTGTTTCATTGTTCGGTGAGGAATGAACCGGTCGTTAGTTAAGCTTATCGTATTTGCAAAATCGCTTACTTTGTAGTAAAAATCGGCGAAACTGGCATGCCTATTTGGTCTATCTTGTAAAGGAGGGTCGCCGCACCAATGTTTTTTTGAATTTGCAGGGGTCCTTTGGATATGAGAATGACGTTCTTGATCCTGGACAACAACTTGCATCCGATGGGTGTACCGGTGGGGGTGGCCTAAATGATGATCAGCTGTGGTACTACGAGGACCCCCAAGGGCGAATTCAAGGTGAATTTAGCAGTACGCAAATGTTCAGTTGGCTCCTTGCTGGTCGATATTTCACCTCCTCTTTGCGGATACGGCGAAAGTGCGATGATACTTTCTCCACTCTGCGTAAGTTTTCAACCTTCGACAGTCAAGTTTCTAGTGAAGAACGGATATGATTTAAAAGTTCACTCGATTACTTATAGTGGGTAGCATTTGGCCACGTTTGCTGTAGTTAGTAGGGCTAATTGTGGGGGTTAGAATACCTTAGAACCCATTATACATCCCTTTAAAGAAACTATTCAGGTGTTTTATTGCTTTGTTGTTGTTGCTGTGCTTACGATCGAATATTCTAGTTTCGTCACCTACTGTGTTAATATTGATTCCTGTTAAAATACATGTTCTTTCGTTACCTGATGCCACTCCGTCTACTTTTGGTCTAGTTTGCAGACAATTCGTAATGTTAACACAATGGTGTTTAGAGCTACTGGTACACTCCGCTTCGGTAAGGTGCCAAAAAATTCTAGGTTTTAGGGACTCGATTTTTTAAACACAGCACCATGATTATTGGTGATTATTGATCAATGGTGACAGACTTGTTGTCTTAGTGTCGCAATATATAATGGTGGTTGATTGGGGATCCCAGCATTAGTAAACGTGCCCTTTGACTTAAAATTATGGCTCAGGTTGACACTTAGCATCGTCTTTGTTTCCTTAGATTGCTATTGCAACACTTAGCTCATGTTTTGGCAAACATTGAATTCAGGTTATGCTTTAATGCCTGCAACTGTAAATGGTGGCGTCCACTAACCGGTTGACCCCCTTAAATAAACTGGTGTTCTAGGGGATTCAAACCCTAAGGCTGCTTGGAATGTGTGGTTGAAGCATTGCCGTACTTCTAGCTTTCGTTAATGTTATTTATGTAGTAGCTTTTAAGTACTTTCTAGACTAATTCCGAAGCGTTCGATTATTACATGTCAAATAAAACTGTTTTTTTCAGATTTTGACTTGATCAGGTTAGCCTATATTACGTTACTTAAATTAGTTGTTGGTATATTGACTATCTGATATCATAAAGGCTTAAACGACGCAGGGCGTGGTTACGGATAAAGAAGTGGGCATATCAAATTACATTGCTGTGGCCTATGACCACGTGCCAGTTTAGGTTTGGTACCCTGTCAACTGCACGCGTGGATTTTTACAGCGCTTGTAATGTGGTGTCAAGCGTTGTTTTACGTGCTTAGATCTTCCGGTTTCTAGATGACTATGTACAATTGTTTGGCCACGTTCCTTTTACCGGTGCTACTCGGATACCACCGATTCGCGGGGGCATCACCCCTCAGGTACTTCTCTTGGTTCGGATGCAGGGTCAGCAGGCCACGGCTGGCCTCCCTTTCATTTGTGTAGATCAACAGCAACAGCAGCATAAACAATCTCGACCCTTTGCTGGCGATGGGAATTGCGTAAGTATCTGCCTCTTGCAAGCAGATTCGCATACTGATGCAAAAATGACTGTATTTGGTGCAATGCCATGTAGTGTGCTGTTGGATTCCTCTGTTATCAAGGACCACAAATTCGTCTATATTTCCTTGTTTCAATATTACTTTGTTCACTGAACTCTCTCTTTACTACCTGCTTGTGGATTCTCTACAGGTAGTACTTCTTGTCATGCTTGTTTTCTTTCATCGATTCACACCATGGACAGAAGTATTGGATTATAAAATTAAAGAACCACCCGTAATCACACACACGAATGTCAGCCAATACATCCCTGATTTAAAACTAACGAAAACACAAGTGGAAGCTTATTACAAGTATCTGTAAATCCGCTAAATTACTCAGTAGTCTGCTGCGGTCTTGTTGTTTTGCGCAAACGGTCAAAAGACTCAACTTTTCTGGTCATGTATGTTTGAGTTTAGACATGTCAGCCGGTTGTTTTGCAGTATGCCGACCTTTTGGTGGTTGTTTGGCATTTTAATAACCGTTTTTGTATTACAACATATATTCCTTCCTGGTTTTTTGCTGAAAATGTTCTTTTTTTCCACCTACTTTCATTGTTTTAACGATTTACTCTGCTTTTATTACTCAAAATGCTAATTTTTGCACTAAAATGGCTTATTTTCTATTCCTACCATCCATCTTGTTGCTTTGACCATTGCAGCGTCATAAAACTCAAAAGCAAAACTTCGTCTAACTGATGAAATTTGTGGATTTGTATACTTGTATCCAGTGATTATTTTTGTGTATTTCTGCTTGATCTCGGTATAACCTTTGTTATAATCTATTTTTTGCAATAGTCTAGTGGTTTCGTCTATGCACTTCCACCGTTACTACTTGTAAACCTAGAAGTTATGTTTCAGCAAACTCCCGTACCATGCAACCGCTGTTCATTGGTACGTAAATCATGTCCTAGTGACGTTTTCAGCACACGGTCGCTGTATGAGGTTAGAAGTCATCTTGCTGGAAAGAAGTCAAGTCTAATCGATGTGTCATTCCTGCGATCCTCACCCGTGAACCATGAATCTCCACCTCCCCTCAAATCGGGTTGTTCACAAGAAGATGTTGTGAGCCACGCAAAACGACTTCGCCAACCAATATGCTTAAATTTACACAGCTTGGTGTAAATCTACAACCGAACTTTGTGTTCAGTTCCGTGGACTTTAACCCATTCAACATTAGTAACTAGCAACTAACGGTATTCATTACCTACGCAGGATCCTATGTAATGATTTCAATACGACACCCTTAAATAAGTAGGCCAATAAAATTGGTTATAAATTGTTAGTTGTTCGGATCATCAGGTCGTGTTTGTACATCGCCGGGGCGTAGCGAACAGGGTTTTTAGTTAGCTGAGTCCTCTGAAGAGCATGTGAACCTAGGAAGTTGTTCCCCTTGATCGGCTGATTTCAGGTGTCAGTGTGTGGCAGCGTCGGATTTTATATTTGTCCATCGTGAAGCGGGGCCTATAATCCTAAGGCTCCAGTGGTCATTTCTGTCTTGGAAGGATGTAGGGCTATGTGAATTGACACAGCCTTGTACTCATGTTTACTCTTAACCTTCTATCAGTCACTGGCATTGGCAAACTCCATTTAATTACTTGGAATCCATTTCATAAAATCAGTGGGCGTCATAAACTGTCCTTTGGATTCCAATGTATGGTGAAGGATTACATCGTGGTCGTCGTCGCACCGCTACTTGATTAGAGGGAAGAGGTGCTTAAATGTTAGTTCTACATGAGTTTTCTCGTCACATGCTGTTAAACCGTGGCTTGCTTCAAGCATTAAAATAACTTCGATGTGCGTGCAAATCGCCTTTCGCGGCAGCTGTTTTCATGTAAACAAAAGATTACGTCTTAAGAGTAAACAAGGCGAATGCCTTTTTTATATGCGTGTTGTTTTGTTTTTCAAAAACTAACATTAAACCTTTAAATCTAGCTCATTCGGAACCATTCCGAAGAACTCGGCCACAGTGAGGTGTGCTGTAGTAAAGCATCCCATATCTGAAGCGACGGTCATCATTCCTGACCAATAAGAAAGATGACTTACATGCTTTACGTGGAGATTTTAAATTAACTTCCTGCATTTTTATGGTCGGGCTGTTGGGTGAGATCCACTAAAGAAACCTCGGTTGTAGCCGCGCAGCTTTCACGTGGTTGGTTAAGTGAACAATTTCTATGGCTCGGACATGCCACAAAATCACTTTGGCAAACATGAGTGTTTAAGTCGATATCGAACGGTCTCCGTGCCGCCAAGAATCGATCACCACGCTATTAGATCTCTAATGGTTAGGGATGCTGAACCTTCACGATGATCGTTTTGTGTTGATGTAATTACGCTGCTCACACTCAGATTATAAGTTGCTGAAATAGTAGCTAATCCTACTTTGTTTCCTAAATCGTCCAGAATGCGTGCAATCGTTGTCGTGAATGCTCGCATTGATTCGTTTCGATTTGGCAAATCGGGGAATACTTTCAAAAAAGTCGGTCTTACGCCTTTGGATGATGTTTTAGCTGTTCCCCCTTAAATTCATAATCTCAATGGCTTTATCACCTCTTAGTTCTGATTATACGATCCATCAGTGTGAGAACTCATTTTTACGTGTCTGACTCGAACATAAAGTGACATGTCGATATTTCTCCATGCTGTCTGCCTTTATTTCATGATCATCGAACAGCATACTCGGTTCAGGGTTTTTGTATGTTGGAGGTTGTTTTTCTGTCACGGTTTATGCATCAGCAGATTCGCTTGCTTGCTAACAATAGACCTGGCCTTGCTGGTTGTTAGTGCGGAGCACATGCCGGTGCACGTGTTCAATTTTAGGTCAAAACTGATTGGCCTGCAGAAACTTCGTGTGTTCCGCGAACAATCGGGTTTCCATGGTTATATTACGAACCACTAGATTCGAAATATCCGTCTGAAACCAGAACTATTTTGCATTAATATTTCTTATCAGGCACACTTTGTTATTTTAAATGTATTAGGCGTGTGTGAAAATGTTTTTAATGCTTTCAGAACCCGCAGTTGTATTAATGAAAAGACTCGTATAGATTAAAACATGTAGATTCAATCAGTTTGTCTAACACGCAGTACTGTCTGGTGTGCCAACGACACAAAACGGCTGACTTCGCGATCTGTATTAATGATGTGCGTCTGTAGAATAGCATAAAGCGTTAACTTGCTAGGTGCTATAGATAGTTCCACCGATCCTACATACATTCGATTACATCTATTCCAATTGCACTGATTCAGTTTCTGATCCACGGTGTTAGTTTTATCTATGTCAAAAACTATTGGGCTTATTTAAATCCAATCTGTTAAGTAACATACAGCTTTAACCATAAAGCGAACTTGATTCTAACAGTTATCTGGTTGTGAGCTTAGGTTTTGTACTGCCGATATTGTTGATATAAAATGTATATTTGAGACCAGTCACTAAGATCCTGTGTCGAAGCTCTAATTTCGTAAAATGTAACATTAAGTTTCTTTAATATTCTCAATTATCTCTTTATTCAGTTACTTAGATATTGTAGTTAAAAGTTTGGCATCAATATGGGCGCTTCGCACACAATTTTTTCATAAAGCTTAATCAATTTCGATCATCCGTTGCGAATATATAGCTTGATCCCTAATCTGCTGTTTCTCCATTGTGCGTGAAAATTATGTTGGAGCTCTACCTGTGCATCCTCGCCATAGTTACTACATATCACTTCCGTTCGCATAAGATCGTTTATGCGCACTTAATGTACAAACTGTCTACGCGTGTTTGGTACCTGTGTTCCGCAGTAGTTAGCTACTCGTGTATTTATTGCACTAAAACATGGTGTATTTCTCTTTAGGTCATGGATGTCCCAGGCGCCTTCGGCAAGAACGGTTTGGTTTGCTCAAATGCAGCAGCAGTTAGTCAAGCATTACTACTCAAGCAGTTTACTGAAGCCATTACGTCGAATCCTGGTGCCGCTGCAATGAATTTCACAAGTCCCCTATTCTCTCTCCTGTCCGAATGGATCGCAAAAACCCGGCTTGATCCCTCTTTAACTCAGGTGTGCTTTGATATAATTCATCATCTCACATCACTTTCCCGTGACCATTTTCTGCATTTAGATTCCCTTACTGTTTGGGTTTCTGTTCCGTGGTGGTGAATACTGTGGCTAATTAGCTGTCCCCAACCACCCCATCACTTTGCACTACTTTGGACTTTCGTTACTTTAAGCGAAGTGCTAGTGTCTGCAGCACTGTGTTTTCCACTAAAGTTTTTTGTCATGAACAAGTCTCAGTGAATCATTGCTGCGTGAGGTATCGCTCGGTCACGGCATTAACTCTCCATCTCCTTATTTACCCATGCTGTGCCAACAGGTTTACGAACCGTACTTGCATAAGGTGTGAAAATCCGTTTCGGTCGTGGTCGAAAATAACACATTGACCTTGGAATCGGTCATTGGTACCATCTGGGATAGCACTTGACAGTCTGACATAACTGCTACTTTGTTTCAGTTTCCTCAATCGTTGTTTATTCGTCTTGGAAACCTCGCGGTGTCTGTTTTTGATTTATTCTGCTAGTATTAGTCGGCTCTGGCTTCGTGACCTGAATAATCGGTTGACTGTAGGCTTCTGATTTTGTTTGGTCCGTTTGTTACACTCATTTGTGGTCGTGTTCACGCACACACGCTCTGAATTCGCAACAAATCGTCTGTCGAGCAATTGAATGGACATATTCATCTCTTTACCATACCCTTTTCGCTTTCACGCAGTTTTCTTTCGACAGCTTTGTTTTAGTATGGAAGGCATTTAGGTAGACACCTTCAGGCGCTGTGTCCGTTTGTGTGAACCAATCAGCACTCTGCAAATACTACTGATCGCTGATTCTCAATGTCCAAAACATTATTGCTGGTGATTACGAAAGATGGTTGCTTGCATTGTTATTGGGTAAACGTGTTTTCCAGTGGTGATGTGTGTTATCCGACTTGCTTAAGGACCGAAGGCAATCTGGCATCATGAAGTACACCCTTCTGCAGATCAGTAAACACGCGTTACAAAGCAATGTGATCGACTTAATTTCATCAGATTAATGATTATCTTTTTCGAGGATCGTTCACTGAAGGCACTACTCTTCAACCGTGAACTGGACGTCGCAAACTCGGTTCTTGTGCAACACACGGGTATGGTCGATATTATCGCCACGTATCAATCAAGCCGTGTCTTATCCGAAGAATGCCCTGCTCGTTTGAAGACATTTGGTGTCGGTTACGAGTGAACTCATGATTAGCCATTTCGGCAGCATCGGTCTGTCAAGTCGGGGTTTTTCCGATGTGTCGTTAGGCTCTTCTGGTATTTCCATCCTGAAACATCTCTCCACTGAAGTCAGGTGCTTTTCAATTGCGCTGGTTTGTCAATATTTTGAGCGCAAACTGACTCATTTGCCTTGGCCTCTTTGTCGATATAAAGAACCAATGTCTTGTAGACTGCAACTGATCTAGTGATCAACTGTGCTTCAAAAGGAATTCTTGCGAGCTCTACTATACAGCTGGTCATCTTGGCTTTGGGAAGATTTTTCTAATGCGCCGACACACTGGAGCCCGTCATAATTTCACACTTTTAACAAACTAGTGGCTCAACAATGCCGGATTCCGCTGTCTTGCCAATTCAGTACAAATGAGGCTTCCTTCGGGTCAGCGGTGATTGGTCCTCTGCTCTCCAAGTGAATTTTGTATGGCTGTAGGTGAGTGGACTCATGCTCTGTTCCAAAAACGCATTTCCTTTCTCGATCAGACGGCATTTTCGGATATAGATGTAGCACGGACAAATTGTCATGCACCGATTCAAGCTGCAATCACCCACACATCACTCAGCGTTTTAGGACTCGTCGCAATGTCTTTTGACGTCTTTTAAGTTTCCAGTGTTCTGGGTGCTCAAGTATTCCGTCGTTAAACGAAATTCGTTAGTCGACATTTTTTGGTATTTGATAAGCTTCCATCTCAGCTTTCAGTCATATCCAACCTCGTTTCTGCTATCGCTTTAATTCCGTGATGATCGAACTGAATTTAGTCGCACTACGAAAAGCAAAATTCACTTCTGTCATTTGAAACCCTCACTAATTGTGCCAATAATGTACCTGCATACGCGGTGCACGTATTTTCTGGTATTTTCTGGTGCACGTATTTTCTGGTATTTCCCTTTCAACCGCTGACGTTCTTGCAACCTGTCAGAGGATTGGCGTAGCCGTTATATTCGCTCTGGAAGTATCACTCAATCTCGGAATCCACCTCTTTTGTAAAAATGTGCATTTTTGATTGCTGAATCACTTTCGGCCAATGGCAAGCTCAGGAGGTTCAAAAGCTTGTTCTGATTAAATTTCCCCAGGAGTTTTACGACAGTTGCGATGTGGGATCATGTGTTCCTAGTCCTTTCTCTATCATAATGTTTCTTTTTCACATGTCGACGTGTTCATTACGCTTTTTTTTTAAAAATCTGGTCCCAGTTTGCATGTACACTACGCAATCAGGACAGTTCTATTACCCGAAGCGGACTACCGTCGCTAATCTAATATTATGCATCGATGGACAACACACTCTCGTTTCTACAATCACACAAACGACTATCTTGCCAGTTCCAAAGCGCCATGTTGTGTCATCATGATTAACAACAGCCGATCTTTCTGATTGAACGACCGAATATACCATACAAACTACCACCGACATCTTTACCTCCATCCAGTCCATTCCCCATTCTAATCACAATGTTCATCTGTGTGTATGCCGATTTTGTAGGTTCTCTTTGCTAGGCATTCTCCACAGACAGTGTACTTTTGTTGAAACTATTACGGTCTACGATGGGTCCTAGTTCTAGTCACCTGTTACGCAAGTTCTTTGGCCGTGCATTAAATTCACTTCGTCTTTTCCAGATGACACTCATTACATTTTTCTAAACCCGCATAGCTGTCATGGTTACACTCAGAACGATATTTTTCAGTCAATCTCGATCGCGCATAGCTTTACTTAATACGAGCACTATACTCAGACATCTTTTTTGTACCTTACACCACTCGGATCTTTTTAGTCTTCAGGAAAAACTGGAACAGGTCTATCAATTCCCGCGATTAGGACGCTTAATTTATTCTTGAATTGGTGAAATAACGGAATGGCTGCCAACACGTCGCCTTGTGGCAACAGCTGATTTCTGCTCCCTCTGTGGGTACATAGCCCTAAAGTGTGTGTCGAAGGTTGTTCTACTTCATAGATTTCCAGTCGTGATTAAGCTAATTCTTTTCCTTTAATTATAGGGGATGAATAATTCAGATTTTGGTAGTCCTGGGATGTGTGGGCCTTGGCCACCTCAGCAACAGCCGCAGCAGATTCCTGCTCAACATCCGATGGGCGATGTGTTTTCCGTGCCTGATCAAGCAGGCGGCGATCTCCTTTGTGGGGTTCCCCAAGTGCCCGAGGCGACGCATCTTGTCATGACTTCAGCCGCCAGTGTCCCTTGCGACGGCTCTCGTTCACCCAAAGCGTAAGTCCCTTAGTCCTCGAATCTTCTTTGACCTCATAGTTGAGCCACGTGCATAGACTCAGGACACTTCTGGAAGTTGCGTGTTTGGGCGTCAAACCTACGTGGGCATGTTTTTCTGCCTTTCATGTGTACTTTTGCGCACAATTAAAGGCGTATCATGCTCATCACAATTTGTTACGTGACTAGCATTTAACTGTGCGCGTGGTGATCACGAGCATGATGCCACGAAACTAGAAGTCCTTTTCTATTTCCACATGGGATTCAGTTCAGAATAATTCAATGCTGCTGATAACTCGAGATCATTTCCATGTAACCCGAAGTTAATGGCTCTACGATCAGTCATACTTCCTGTTAATAGGAATGTCAGCTTCTTCGTTGTACACATTACACCTCAATATTTTATAGTCTTGAAAATTAAAGTGCTGGCTCTCACCACTCATCCTTGTTCTCCCTATTTGGGCTGGAAGGTGAAAGCAGTGCTACTTTCGGTATCATTATTTCGCATCTTTTTACCTCAAGAGTCTAAATTAGGTTCTCAGGACCTTGTGATGTGTGTTGGTGCATATTTTCTTTTGGCTACTCAGTATTGTTTAATTGGTCTCACAGAACTTCAGTCACATTGTAGTTGCAGGTTGTTCTTTTTCTCCTGCTCGATTCTGTGAGAACTCAATGCCTTCTAGCATCCAGAAACAAATCGGGACTTTATCATTTCTTATTGATTGGCCTCTTTTAGTCACGCATATCCAAAAATAAGGTATTTGATCTGCTCATTTACCAAGGCTTAGTGTGTTGATCTTGTTGCACTGTGTCTTCATTCTACTACTGGTGTTCGCAAATCGTTAATGCCTCGGGTTTCATAAATTTAAACTCCGACGTTTACACGTCAAGTTAACGTAAAATCTTCGTAATCTTTTTAGCATTACGCAAAACATTTAACATTTTTAACATTACGCAAAAAAATTAAGATGCAGGTGTGCTCCATCGTTTATTTCATATATCACTATATTCCATGCACTGGAGTCACCATTCAATGTGGCAGTGATGTTATCTTCATACACCAAGTTGATAATGACTTTTATGTTCTCGCAGTTACTTATCCCAATGTTAAACTTAAATTCCGCTTAGGGACCGACATAATCAGACTGGTGGAAAAAATACCGAGGAAGCATTGAAACACGAGACTGTTTCCCAGACTAAATCAAAGGACTCTTCGAACATTGCTATGAGTAATAATTCACCTCGACAACATCTCCCGCTCAGTAGCAAACCTGACCCTGAAAGTAGTGCCGGCCGGCAACCACCGCGCGCGGTTTCTCAGTCAGGATGTTCCAGTTGTTCGGCCTCCTCGGCAGGTGGTGGAGGTGGAACTTGGTCTACTGAGTCCCTCCAATTTAGTTCTAGTTCTACTGGAGGGAGGCGATTGACATCTACCCCCGAACAGCCACAACCGGCTGCACCAGTAAGACCGGTGAAAAATTGTTGGGCGGAGAAATCAGCGACGGTTGTGGCGGGGGCCAGAGCTGGGAGCAAGGCATCCTCAACTAACAAGACCGGTAAACAATCTTCATCATCCCCTTCCACAATCTCGTCTTCGAATGGCGGTAGTGGTGGAAAATCGGCAGCAAACGGTTCATCAACGGCGCCTTCACCAATCGAATTAACTACGCAGGTTCGCTCCTTAGGTTTTACAATTTTTCTGGCTTTGCTCCTAGTTTTTTCCCTGTAATTTGTAAAATGGACAAGAGTCCAGCAGAATGTGCGTTTTTGTTCAGTCGTCAGATGAGTTTGCTGTTTTGAGGTAAGTAGGTAATCAATAAATTGGCGAAAATAGGAATCATGTGTGTTGGGGCCCTCCCATTTACATCTGACTTCTAAATCTCAATCTGTTGTCTGTTGCTCGCGTCCACATGGAAACTTCTCATTAGACTGGTGTTAATGAAAATTGTTCTTTGTGGTTTTTGTGTCACGCCTTTACTCTTTGAATTTGATGCTGTAATTCGATGCCAGATTTAAATCAAAACGTGTTTACATTGACAACATAAGTCATTGTAATCGTAGTTATTTCTTTTTCCAGGGTCCGTTGGATACTGAAAGCGGAAAAAAGAAAACTAAGTCCTGTAAACAACAACAATCATCAGCTCAAAATGGCGTTAAAAAATCTGGCACCACTGCCACAACATCCTCGAAGAAGACCAAAAGCGGAGCCAGTGACAATTCAGCCCTGACAGAGGAACTCACTTCCCTCATCCGATGGGTCCGGTCTGCTTTGGTCGGGATTGAGCCAAAGGAAAAGTTTGATATACCAACCTTTGTAGAGCTCCTTACAACCATCGATGCGCCCTACGAGGTAGCCTCATGTCCACTCTCTCTATTTTGCATAATTTGCAGCTCAATTTCTGAGCTTTTCTCTTCTCCAAGATTGATTGTCTTAATCAACGGAGCACCCACCATCTACTTTTCTATTGCAGTATTTTGATCCATTAGTGTGTGAAAATGAGAGGTGTCTTTAAAGAAATCGTGTGGTGCTTGAAGCGCCTTAAGACACGGCTGGTTTTTAAATCCAAGACTATTTTAGTACCCGAATTCTAATATCATACTTTGCCTGTGAAAACCTTGTCTTAACGTTCTATAACAGTAGTAATATTCCTTCTAATTTTTCCTTGCAATCACCGTTGAACCTGTTCAATCCCCCAGCTTATCATTCACGTGTGTTCCCTGAGGTCCACTTCAATCGACAGTTCCCTCGTTGAAGTGGCACTGCGTCCACGGCACAAACGACCGACGACTTTTGACTACACGTGTGATTTGGTGTGAAAATTCTCATGGTGTTACCCCTCTCTTCTTCGTGCAGGTTGAAAGCATGATAATTGCCTACCTCGGGAATTCAAGTGGTTCGGAGCAGTTTGTGCGGGAGTTTCTTGATCGCAGACACACCTGCTGGCAGTTGCACCGAAAACAAGTGGAGGAAATGCACAACAGTTCCAGATCTAAGAAGAACCATAACAGCCATCAATCAGCGTCAGCACCTTCGAGCAGTGAGGGTGGCGTCTGCCTGACAAAGGCTTATTCGGAACCCAGTGACACCCAGGCGGACAGCGCGGTGCGAAATCACGTGATTTTAGTTTTGATCAGCATTATAGCCACCTGGAACAGTCACACAAACTACAAAGTTCGCTAAATCTAGTCCAAATTTTGCTAGTTTCACATTCTATTCTGGCTTGAGGTCGCGGTAGGACCACTGACTTGTGCTTTATAGTCTGCAGCACAAATTCATATTGTAGAGCCCTTCTCTAAACCCTATCCAGTTTGCACCATCAGTTCACACGTGCCTGTCATTGTGGCTGAAATCGGGTGAAAGGCTCCTCTATGACCAAAATATTTCTCCAGCACAAGGTTTGCGTTAAGCCCCATGTTTTTTTTTCAAATTTTCATTTCTCGCCCAATTTTACTGAGTCTTTTCCGATAAAATTGCCTGCATGTGGGTGCATTGTGAGCACCTTAGCAATAATATTCACGATGTAAGCTTCATTCCCGTGTGCCCCTTCGCTAATGCGCCATGATTTCCCTTGTAGTGGCAACAAATCAAACCAAAAAACTGTTCCAACCGCCGGTCGAAGAAGGGGGGGAAACACCGGTCGTAATTTGCAGGTTCTGGTGTTAGCACTCCTCGCTAACACCACCTTCATTTTCCCCGCCTTCTTTTCCCAAAGACATTCGGTGCACCCTGTTCTCTGGTCTTTCCTTTTTGGATGATTACCTTCACTTTTCTGCTCCCGTTCCTTTATTCTTGTAGCATGTTTTTCTGAATTCACTGCTGTTTCTTCAATAAGAAGAAATCAGTAGTTGCTTCAGCTCTGATCTCGTTGCCACTGCCAGCCCCCACCCTCTCCCTATCTTTTTCGCTGCCGTTGTGCTGTTGTCTTCACCAGTTCTGTCGTGTTAGCCGCCTGCTCTTGATATAGCTCTGCACGCACCTCATACGCGCAGGCAACGAGGGATGGAGAGTGCGGAATTTTGAAAAGACGTGTCTTCACCTCGATTTTTCCGATCGACACGTGTACAAAATGCCCAGTTCGGCCTTCTCATCCTGCCAATCGTCTCCTTGCTAGTCCGTCCGCCCGCCTGCTCGAGAGAGCTTGTCGATTGGCCGGGGGTCGGGTCGGGCTGGTAATCTCTCATGTGCATGTGTACATATACTTTTCTGACTGTTCTTTCAATACAACCTAAAAATTTATGGAGCGTTGGCTTGACTTGATGATGGGGTAGTGTTAATCGGCTTAGATACGTTATCTATCGCATCCGTGTGTACTGAAAACGTTCGCACCCGCACTACAGGCAATTTGTTAACTAACTTAGTCACTGACGGCAGTCGTCGTTTACGAGTGCCAGAACTCCGTTATCTCGTTTTTTGTGTATCTGGCTTTCCCATCACATAAACTCGAAGGGATGAATTTACCCAAGAAACTGGTGATCCGGTGAAATGTACGAATCTGTCGGCTTTTGTCTGGCGCATCTTTGTGTTTCATTCTGCCATAGCACTACTCATTGTGAGGGGTAGCATAAAACTAGACATCAGGTGTGTAGAACCCTCCATTGGGCGTTTAATGGGTTTTGTGTTTTGACGGTAACAGCACATTGTGGTCCCAACCTCCTGCGAATGGGATGCTTCATGGACTTCGAGCCTCACGATTGTGCCTGTCAATGGCGTGTCATTTAGCTACTTACATGGGGACGACTTCGTTGTGGTGCCCGTTACTGCCGGTTGCGGCAGTCATGCTGTGCACTTGTTCTGACACGGCTCGGGAAACGGAATGGATTTAGTTAAAAACTGACCAGTAAACGTCAGAAATGAGTTTTAGGGAACCGCGCACTGAAGCAATACCCTTGGAAGTGTTGCAGTTATTTGTATTTATGATTAGGTATGCTTAATCTAGCAAGTAATGGCTGATTGGATCGGACCACGTACCAAGCAGTTGGGTTCGCTATTCTTGCTAGTAAATTTCAAGTATTTGCTGCTAGAATTATTCGCGGCATTAGATCCAAGTATCCACTATTTGGAATTGTCATTTTCATTTATCGAAATGATGAGTATCGCTGTCCGCCTGGCGTGCTTGATGTTCCATTAGCTAGGCTACATTTACCTGAATCTCTTGTACCTCAAAATCGTGATTGGAGCGAAGACATGCTGTAATTACGGAATTACTGGCCAATCATTTTGAGTTTATGTGGCAATTTGAATTTAAAAGGCCTTAAAATGAGCTTCTCAAATAATCAGGACTCTGGAGGGGAATTTAGGGCGCTCAATTTCGAAGTTTTTAAGTGCCTTCAATCCTAAAAAAGCTGCACACGTCCATTCGTTTTTTTTCACGGTTGTTCATCTTAACAGTGGTTGGAAAATTCTAGCTGTTTGCCATGGAATTTGCATCGGTAGAGTGTATAGAACCCATCAAGCTTTTCTTACAACAAAACATTGCTCAATACTCATGATCACTGGAATTAGTTCAAGAGGTTGTCTCGGATGTGAAATTGTACGCTGATGCCAATGTGACCAGCTTTTTTGTGCGTTTTCCCACGGTAAAAGCAAAATTCCTTTCAAACTGGGCTATTTACGGCTCACAGTTGATGGTGGGTTTTGTTGAACGCGTATTTTGTTTCTTCCTGCCAAACTAGGCACCAATATATCCTTCGAATATCCACCAATTAGAACCGCCATGTTCTTGAAGACATCTGACTGATTTACTGTGCGAACTATAACGTTCACCTCGTAATTTAGAGCCGGTACTCGATATTATAGTGCTCTTTGCCAATGTTTTTGTCATCGGGGTAAGTTGATTCCCTTCTGTTGATACGTTAAAGGTCATTAAACATTCATAACCTTAGAAAATTGGTCGTTCGAGTCTTCTCACCATCTGAGTCCGTGTTTCTCAGATTTGTTGCGGTCGTCTGACGATTCTGCCATAGTGACGATCATTTATGCAATATTGGGTTACCTGAATGGCGTTCATTATTTCCTCCCGACGTTTTCATTGCGCCAGAGAAGTCGGAGTCTCCTGGGGAAGACTTCTTTCCAAGCTCTTCGCTCCGAAACTGGTTAATGGTGTCAGCCTAGCGTTGTACCTTCTTCTGATTTGATTTCGCAAGAATGCGATGCTCTGAATCAGGCTGCATCGTGCAGACCTAAGCATATTTTTTCGAGCCAATAAACCAAGTTATACCAAAACTCATATATCGCTTTTTAGCGTTTGAAATCGATTTGTCGGCTATCAGTGGTTCGTGCAAACTTACGCATCTTGCAGAATAATGTTTTTTTAAAACTCAAATTGAAATGTCGGATCGATTGAAAATCCTGTGTTCGTAATTAGTCAGCTATGGTGCGGCCTTCGGTTCTTATTTTGTTAATTGCACTTGTCCCTGGAGCCTTCTCTTCGTCGGTGGATGAGTGGATAGCTGAAATATTTATTCCGCAGCGCGCCATAGCAGGCATCTTTGAGAGTACGCCAATTGGGCTACGCTATAACCGGGGTTTTCCTCGCGGCATCTGGGGGACCAATCTAGCACCGGATCTGGGAGCCTATGACGAAGGGCATAATGAGTTTCTTGTTCAGGGTAAATTAACATTCCTAGCATTGTCGCACTACTTCACTTGGGCCTAATTTTGCTTTGTTGACAAGACCCAAGGGGATTTCGAATCACATTTTATGTCATTGCTAGAATTAAGAGTCACTTCCATTCCTTTCGACTTTCACGTATCTGGTGAAAATTTAGGCAAACTAAACTAGCAATAGGACTTTCGATAGATCAATGTGGTTCTGAAGTGCCTTGGACTGTTGCATTTCAAACGCACAAGTTTATTTCTAATCTTTTTTTCCAAATTTCTAACCATTCTCTTGTCCTCTGTGCCTACATTTTGACCGAATCTTGCAGGTCATTGTCCAACTAAAGATGAATAGATTTGGTAGTGCTAAAGTTTGCTATAGTTGAATGATATGCATGACGTAATGTTCTTTTCCCTCGTATTTTATAGAAAATTTCTGAGTAAACCTATCAGGGTAAATTTCTATCAGTCACTTTTTATGATTTATATCAATGTCGGATTTTCAACAAAAGTGAATTCGTTGTTAGGTCATTTTTGCCTACAAAATGGGCGATGCGGTTCACATTTTCAACGATGCGCCATAGCCTGTGGATTTGACACCACCGTGAAATCAGTCGGTTTGAAATAAAAGATACAATCACAAAGACAAGCTTAATGTCCAGTGGACTTTTTAAGAAAATTTCACGTCTGATTTCCATGATAAGCTCTTCGAAACCGAAGGTTTTTCTCGAGTGCATGTACTATTCAATGTTGTTAATCGCCGTCCTGCATTCAAAAATACCTACCATATGGTTCTAATTGAAAGTATTAGGTATTAGCTTGGTTAGTGAGTTAACTTTCTTGCTTATAATGTAGCAGGGCATCATCGATTTCACAAAAACCTGACCAACTTATTCAAAGCGTTTGATCTCGGTAATTTTACGATAAGATCAAATTTTTGTGGCCCAATAAACTCCTGTCGTTGGATCAGGTCATCATTTCAGTGTCCTGAGGTTGATTAATTTTAAAAGAAATTCTTTAGGCAGTCTTGGACTTAATGTGCACACTTTTATTTAAATTTGAGTCTTTTTGGCTTAAATATCAAAGGTTGCTAGCTATTAAGATGTGTGGGTATTTCTAAGTGACTTTCGGGCAGTAATGACTGTGGTAAAATAGAAAAAATCAAGAAAAATGCGTCGGTGGGATAATGTGGCCTCTGGATTTGTTCTGGTAGAATAAATTAGTATTAGGATGTGTGCCTTTATATGCGATTCAGCTACACACAAAAAATCGATCATTCGGAAATCGTTGATTTCCTGTCATAATTGGTAAAAAGAAAATTTTTCTCTGTCAGTAGTATCTAGAGTGGTTTAAAGTGCAATGGAATGAATCTGCCAGGAACTCGGTTCAAACTGGCCTTCGTTCCTCGGCCAATAGACTGGTTACTTGCTTGCTCTCTAGCATAGCGGTCAGGAGGTAGCAATGGATCAAAATCCTTTAATGTATAGGTGCACAACGTTTTGTGTCATGGCGGCATGAAGCAAGTACAACTTCCCACTTTGGCACTCATCCGATTTGCATCAAGATTCCATTATAAAATGAATCCTAAAAGGCCTGCACGGCGTGGCAACTTAGGCCCCTTTACGGTGGCTAATCAAACAACTAGTAAAACAGACCATGGGAATGCCATACCAAAATTTTCCGCGTTGGTTTTGTGCTTGGATTTCTACAGCTCCTCCGTTTTTTTTCTGATTAACTCCAAGTAAGTTACCCAGATGAATATCATAGAAACTCACAAAGGCAATGATTTATCTTCCAAAATTAAAAATTCTGCAATGTCTCTACTCGAGGTACATCGGTTCACAGTTACCGTGCCTTTTAAACAGTCAAAATGATTTTTTCATGAATGCAAATTTCAGGATTTTTCTGGAATAAAGTAAAATTGTGGCTGGCTAACGAACCGAATAGGTTTGACGCCCAGGCCGTCTACGATGCCTTCCGCCGGCATGTTTTCGATTACATGTGCGAGGGTGGAACATGGGGATGCTGTGTGGCGGGCATTCGCGATCTCACCTGCAGGTACCCCCCGAAGTCCATGCAGGACGTCATCTTCGTGCTGCTGGACCCCAAAGAGAACATGCCTGTGCTCTTTCTATTTTGGTGGTGCATGCATGTAAGTCCTGTCACGACATACGCCTCCAAGTATGACGTTCCAGCGAAATTGTTGCTTCCCTGTAAACTTATAGACATCCTTTCCTGTGTAGAATATATCATCCTGTGATGACATTTTGTCGCAGCAATAGGCAAATTTGTTTGTTTTCATCTGCGGTCCTTTGCGTCTCTTAGGTGGTCCCGTATGACATTGAAAAAGGCATTAATTTATGGCAATTTTGCGTTGTCAAGCCCCTATTTAGTAGTCTCTGCAAGTTACTTTTCGTTCTCAAGTAGTTTACCAGCATTCATAATTATGCAATGGTTTCCATCAGGACGTTTCCTAGACAATCGTTTGTCAATTTATTTGGGTTCTGGGGTCAATGTTCGCATTCGTTGACCCTTCAGGCCAAGTTAGCTTGCGTGTGCTCTTTGCTCTAGTCGTGGATGGAGTACTACAGCCTCGATCTTAAAAGGGACGCCAACACGGCAATGCAACTGAGGCGCAATCTGCGTCAATTCTGTCCGTCACCTTGCCTTGCAAAGCCTTGTCGTCGCATTCCTGGGGTTTTAATGCCCAATAAGTGCAAAGCCATCGGACCGTTTGAGGTACACTTTGCCTACATCGTGTTTAGATTGCGGTAATCACCTGATTGGAAATTAAAAGTACTTTATTCAGCTGTCTGAAACAATAACCAAATTGCATTTTTTCTTCAAACTCAAAGAGCTCCCTGAATTTAATGCTAAAGTGCGACATATTCCACTTGAAAAGGCATTAACTTGATTCAGCCCTTTTAATGACAGTACCGTGAAGATTGACTATTCTTGTCCCAGAAAGAAACGTAGAAGTATTCCGCCGACTTTTCATGCATAAACTTCCTACGCTTGTTCATTTTGAATGAGAGGTGAGGAAATTGATTCTTTAAACTATCTCAAGCGAAATTGCTTTGATCTGCTGAATATTGTGCAAAAATTAAAGCTTGTAACAAATCCCATGCCTGAGACGAGCTGAAACCCCGAACCTATAGAGAATAAACGACGAATCGAAACGTTAGACAACACACACGTGCTATCCTAAACAAATAATATAGCAATAATAATCGGGATAAATATGTTATATTAAACAGTAAACGTATGCAGCAAGTATATCCACATTCCACTGTGAGCGCCGTTCGTCTATTGGGCAAAGTGCAAACGGAGTTAAGAAAGAATGCGAGGTAACACAGCAGGCGAATCAAGACGGGTATGGTGAATTTTACCTTTCGGTCCCCATGTGCCCTTCCCTTTGAAGAAGAAGAAGAAAAAGAAGATTTGCGGCAAGTGCCCTTCGATAATAAAAGATATGGAATAAAATCGGATTCATTTGTCACAAAACCAATCAAATGATAAGTGTTTAAATGTATTTCGATTGGTTTTTCATAACAGCCTGTTAGTAGGCAGAACCTTGTAGAATTCAATTCTACCCAAAATGCACTAATTGTAAATGGTGTGGTGTGGTGGGGTTTACTATGTTAGAAACTTGCATCCTCCTAAAACTAAATTTGCAATAAAAATCTTGAAAATTTAACTCAAACAGGACGACTACGAGTGCACCTGTCGGAAGGAGTTTGTTTGGGACCGTGGTACGAAGACCTGTACAGCCATTAACCCTTGTTTCGCTCGGGCTTACGCTCCCTGCTACGCTCCGGGAACCCTGACCTGCCTAGCACTGGATATGCAGGGCCCTAAATGCATTTGCAAACCGGAATATATGGGCAAGGATTGTGCTCAGTTGAGAAATGCCTGCTTACATCGTTTTAATGAAGTAAGGTTTGGTGTGTATAAAATTATTTTGCTACTTTTAATTTGTTAGTAACGCCAATTATATTGTAGTCGGAACCAAACGGCAACAGCAACTGCGGCGTCGCACGTGGAAACTTGTGTAATCCAGTTCTTGGGACCGATTTATACAAGTGCACATGCACCACGGGATGGATGCCATCGCTTAGTCTTCCTTATGATAATTGCGCCATTCTGAACGATCCATGTGCGGCTGGGGAGGGTGAGGAAGAGAAAGCAAACGAGGATAAACCAAGAGTTACTTCTAGCGTTAAATGTCAAAATGGAGGTTATTGTATCAGCTCGCCTGATTACAGCACAGCAGCCTGCCTCTGTCCCACAACCACATGGGGAGACCAAACGCACATGGGTGAGTAAACTTAATTGTCGAAAGGAGGGCTTCATTTTGTCCAATCTGAACACTGAACTTGTTAATGTGCGTATTAAGAATCCATACCACATGCAGTTGTTGTGTATCTCACTGGAAATATTTCTGCAAAACATGTTTACATGATGCGGTCAATAGGAGAAATCCCGAGCGTGACAGCTTTGCGCTGTGTTGGTTTTCTTTTGGTTTTCACATACTTTATTGGGGATTTTGGGTGGCATTTATCAGGTGTCGAACATAAAATTTTAAAATTAGGAATTTCGATGTTTAAAGTAGATGTGACAGTAGAGTTATGTCGAATTCCAAGCGAATTGTGCCGGTAAACGCAACACTAAAACGTGCATGTAAATAAAGGTCCTTTTCCCAGAAGTTAACCTTACTGTGTGCTACAAAATGTCCACTCCAATCACCCAGGATGAATTACTTTGGCGGTACACCACAAACGGCTTATCAGCTCTTAGTGGCTGCACCCTCCCACCACCCGCAAAGGTGATCGGCCAAGACATCCTCACACCGGAGTCGATAATTTCGGAAAACGTGAAAGCTGTTTGGGCATTCGGAATCGGGTTTGCTTTCGTGGATGCTGAGATGGAAATCGGAATTCGTGCCCTCCTTTTTCATGCTTTCCTCCCCCTGCTCTTATCTGCATCGCTTACCAGAAGACCAATTAGCAGACCGGTCCGAAGCTTTTAGGGCTCTCGCTTTTCCCTTCAACACCAACCACCCAATCGCATTATTATCAACACAGTTTATCTGGGATGGGAGTGATGAGAGGGGGCGTTAAAAAACAGCAACCATGCACACACACACACGCACACACCTATCACGCGTCCCCATAATGCCTTCGCGATTAAGACTGTTCCCGCGCGTACCCGATGGGTGGGTGGGTGGGTGGGTGGGGAGAAAGTTTGCTCAAATTCTCGTTCCCCCACCTCATATAAATATATATATATATATATGCACCTGTCACCGCCCTAGGTGGGTATAATGCTCTGGCGCCGGTTCTAGCGATTGCAGAACGCTGATAGCACCAGCAGCACGACGAGAGAAACGATGCGAGACACTAATGGGTGGTGAGAGGGAGGGAAAACCAACGCGCGCACACCGGGAGCACCGATCAGGGTGTGCGCGCCGCACGTGCACGCGCGAGCTCGCATTGAGCACTGATTTGTGGATGCACGGCCGCACTTCGAGAGCGAAAGCACGCATCCTGTGTTGAGATCGGAGGTGTGATAAGCCGGCCACAGCAGGGGGCGTAATGCAGGCACGGGCAATAATAAGTGCGTGTGCTTTGCCTGTATACCTGCTCCGTTGATGGGCTGGGGTGGGAGGGAGTCAGGGGCTTAAAAGCGCCCAACCAGACGCTCCAAGTGAGTAAGGCTCAGGTGTGCTATCACTGCTCCGCTTAGCGCTCGTGCGTACGTGTCTCTTAAGGAAATAGAACGTTTTTTTCGCCTATCGTGCTCGTTTCCTGTGCATGCGCCGTCGCTGATACAGCAGATGCGAAGAGAGAAAGTAGGGCTTATTGACATGATCCCGAATAGAGCACTGGGAATGTTAGGCATTGGCAGCTAGCTTAGTCAAGGCCGTGTCGTGACCTACAAAGCACTAGTAACCCAAGTACCATCAAAAGCCCCTTTTCATTCGTTTACTTTGAGGAACAAGTAATATTTTCCCTATGGTGAGTATAACAGCCACAGCCTCGCGGTTCCACATAAAAATTTACCTCACCGTCACAGATTAAATATTTTCATTGGTGTTTGTAATCTATGGTATTCGAAATTGAAATCAAACTCGCAAAACTTTTGACCTCCAAAATGTTTCATTGCGTTACTGACACGCCTTGCAGTCGCCTTCTCAGCTTCGATGCATCTCTGTTATCATGCATTATTTAATTTCCTGTAAAACCGAAAAATTAAATATCCCCTCGCTTAAGCGGCGACACATCCACGACTCTTCTCTTTCCGTAGCCAAAAGATTACGTCTATGCTGCACTCAAATCACAACCCACAGTTTGATTTTCGATTTTGAATAGAAGTCTGCAATTGAATCATTTGGTCACCTATGGGGTATCCTCATGTTGTCTGTGGTTTCGTATCGTTATATTTGGCTTTATTGTCACTAACATACGGAGCTCCTTACTGAGGCGTGTTGGTTAGCTTAGATATATGTTTAAGAGCTTGAGTAGTGCCACAAGTAAATCATTCAATTTTTTCAAGGGTAGTCCTTGAAACCACCGGCGGTTTCATTTTATGCGGTACTCACACGTTTCTTTCAATAATGCTTTGCCATGGAAATGAAGTAGTTCAACATCAAGCCACTGTCGTGTGGCGAACTTGGTATCGTTTCTCTTTGAGAACGTTGTCATAAAGCTCAACACAAATCCTGTTCTCTGGAGATATTTTGAAGTGCATTACAGTTTGCATTTTAGCCACACTTGTGTTGCACTTCTACTGATCAAACAAGTAATCTACCCCAAGTTAACACAGAACCTCAGCTGAAACACTATGTGTTCACGCAGCCGGCGACTACACCAACTAGAATTGTGTTGTGAAGTATAGCCGTGTAACCAGTGTGATGGTGCTTTTCGACGGTCTAGCTCATCCGAATTCATCAAAGGGCAAGCATAAACTTACGTCGGAGAACAAGGACGTACGTACTTTTGTGTGTCAGAAGGCTGCTTTTTTCCGGACCTGTGGTAATTGTGGAAATTTCTCAACTTTAGTTCACAAAGCCTTACAAGCGTACCTTTGAACGTCTCTTCCGCTCACCTACGTCTTGATCTAGGTATAACTTCCTTTCTTTGTAAGGTACATACTGCGAAACGCCTCGTGGAATATGGTCTACTTGGTCGGTGATGAGTTCATGCCGCAAAAAAAACTGTGGAGTCAGTCGATACAGGTGGAGACGACGCCAGTGTCTGGGTGAGATCTCCCACATTGAAACTCCCAACTCCATCCCCAAGAATGCGACTCGTCCATGCTTCGGGATCTCTGAAGAAGTAAATACATATCCATCTTTTAAAAATGGACCTATTATAAACCCGTCTACTTTTGTTTACTTACATTCGCGGCCACCGTGCGGCCATCGCCATTCACTGCTGACCATGTCGCATGCTCTTCGAACGCGAAAAATAAAGTTACAATGCCGTTAAATGCACTTTCCAGTTTATAGATATCAGGAAGATTTGCTGACCGGAGTTACAGTAAAGTATTCACCAGACCAAAACCAGCCACTTCATTTGTAGTCTTGCGAAAAATATCCGCACTTGGGTTTTTGGCCTTATAGTGCGCCTTTACGTTACTTGACTTCTGATGAAAAAGTTAGAAGGTGTCATTCCCCTGGGGCTGACTTTTACTCGATGGAATCTGAATAAATAAATGCACTAAGCCACAGTCGGTCAACTGGAGTAACTACATTTGTGTGAAGTTCACAGCAGGTGGACTCAAGCAGGACGCGAATTCATGCGCTCTCGCACTCGACAAGTACCTTTATTTGATTCATACTGGCTTCCATTTAACTTTCAAGTATTTATGCTCTGGACAGAGTTAATCAATTCGACGGATGGGTTATTTTTAAACAAACAGGTATTACCGAGTTAGTCGAGTAGTGTTATTCATGAGTTCCTTCCCAACGATGGGAATTCGATCACTTAAGACGTGATATGAGCATTTACCATTAAATACTAATTGATTTAAAATCTTAACTATTCGGCTGCTAAGATTTTAGTTTCCGTTTTATACCTTCCATTAACTTAAATGGAATTTAGGGATACGGCGGTATGAATTTTATTCCCACACCTTGAAGGTATCGATATTGAGACAAAAAGTCGTCTAATGCACTATGAGATTCACTTAACTCGTTCCAATCCAACCGGTGTATAAGTTTAAGCGCCTAGATATCGCAAGGTGCGCGTTGTCAACCCTTGTCTAGGGTTTGAGTTCGATAACCATGGCAACTACTATATTGGAAGGGGGTAAGATGAATGCTAATCTCTGTACCAGGTTCCCTAATCAGCACGTATTTCCTAAGGTAACAACCCCCGTAGAATCTACTCCCCTTCAAAGTCGAGAACTAAACTAGGAGTTTTTGTGTAAAGAGCGTTTTACTTCCCTATTTACATTATGTGAGACTGAATGCACATCAATAACCGAGTTTTACTCTGACCAACAAAGGTTTTTAAAATGCATTGAAAGTATGGATAATTAGTGAATAAAAAGCTATTTGAGTTTCGTGAGTTTTACTCTTACTACTTTTTCCTCGATTTCCTATAATAACGGCTTGGCTTGCCAACCAGAAGCAAGTGGTCTGTAAAATTGTTACATAGTACACCATTCTTCCATAAATTGTCCAAAACCACTTAAAATGAGTAGTGTATTGAGCGAAAGTGCGCTTATCGTGGCTGTTCACCAACAGCAGAAAATGTGAAGCCTCGTGGAGCTTTGCTCGTGGTAGAACTATGTGAGGTGTCTTTGACCACATCTGACTCTAATCATTGTTGTCTTACTAGAAATTGGTTGTTTTAGATTTTACCGTGCAGCGAAACGCTACCTTGTAAGACGTTACGTTTGACTGGGAAGTTTCGCCACGAAATTTTTGATTTTCGTCGTCTTTACGTGTTCCTGTTGATTGTAGGGAGTGAGGTGAGTTGAATATCCATAAGATTGTCTTTGTGTGAATTCAAATGTCTTGTATTGTTCATTGTACATCGAAAGAAAACTGGCATCTACCACCTAGTCAATTATTTCATTTATTTGATTTCAAGCGACATGCAGAACAAGTTTTAGTGAAATTTCGGAAACTATGACCAAAGATCTCGTGTATATGCAGCTCCAAGCAAATTCCACATGTGGACCTGGCTAGGTGAATTTGCTTCTCAAGTGCGAACTGAAACTGGGTTGGTAATGAAAAGCTCAGTTTGATTAGGGCCTTCGATGGGAACTCTAACCTCGACATGAATGGCAAACTGGCAATTGACAGAAGTTCGATTATCTCTGATGAAAATAGATATACTAAGGCCACACTAATAGGCCCTGCGGTCGGTTTAATTTGCTCAATCGAAACCAAATCTGTGCGTAGTTAAAGCAACCTCGCTGATGGACGATGTGAGCACAAGTCTAGACATGACACCATGACAGACTGCCTTCTTACGGGGTTCCTTCAATGTCAGGTTATGAGGCTCTTTCTTTGCAATGAATTTTTCGGCCTTCCATAAAATTTGTGCATGGATTCTTCTACTACACGTGAATTCCTAATTTTTGGATTGAGGGTACTGGCCGTCTTCTCATCCCCCGTCTTCCCACCCTCGCCTCCCCCCCCCAGGGAGTCGCCGCGTTTTGGGAAGCTGTCCACCAATGACAACTTAGTGCACATTCTAGACGCTACTTCTTCTTGCAGAAGTGATTCTCTGTTGCAAATTTTAAAATTAGTACTAAGATCCCATTTGTTATAACAACTTCGACAAATAATTTTCCAATTCCCGTCGGGTGCTACTTTTCAGATGTGGAGGCATTTAAGCATTATGGTTTAATCATACCCCAGATAAATTGCTATTAATTTAACTCTTGAAGCCTAATTTACCGTAAAGTCAGACCTCCGTCTGATGCAGACACAAATTAATAAAGATGAGCCGAATATAAATCTAGACTAGCTTCAATGGTTCTGAGTCAACAAGTTCATGGCATCGGTAGAGATTTGAAAAGTGAAGTGTCAATGTAACTGGTGGACTGTGTTGGTCAGATGATAAGTTCAATCCCCTGTATGGGAACCGTGCGTAAGTCACCTTCTAAGTACATGAGTGGAGATGCTCACTTGTGCAAAATCCCCGTGCAAGCAGACCTCAGTGCCATGCCAAGCTCAGCACCCACGTCCGACCACAAAATAACTAAAAAACAGCACTGGGATACTTCAAAAAGGAAATTCAAACACTTAGGATTTACCCACACGGCCATAATTGTCACGGCATTGGTCGGTTCACATAGAAACATCTTAATGTCTCTCATTTATTAATACCTTGCCTCTATGATCCGAATGCTTTTTCTGCAAGAAGTCGTCACGTGGAGAGAATGATTGATTGACCTTTAATATCGCATGTTTATAAAAGACTCGTGTTTGTGGATAATCATGTTTGACTCTTTAGTTCACTTTCTCATTCATCGTTTCGAAGACTTGTGGGCCTTACATTACACAACTTGTGCTGCAAAAAGTGGATAAGGTGGTCGCAGATAAGATGAAACATTCCGCCGTCTTCCACGGTCTTGTTAAAAAACCACCTCCTGGGGCAACATCGCAGCAACTGAATCAAGGTGAAATGGGTTTGGGAGAGAACGAGTTGGAGCAGACTCAGGCTAAAGAAGTCAATGTCCCGCCTACTGGAAAGGGACTGGCGAGGAATAAAAAGGAACCAGAGGACGATGAAGAGTTCCTTGAGTCGATTCGTCGGAACGTTGTCTTGCGCCTACTCGATCAACTAAAGCCCAACGAAGCTGGGGAAATGGCGACCACAACGGGCGACCTGAAAGAGGGGCGTCATGCCAAGTGGCGGGCTCTGTGGAGTAGGCTGGCCAATGTGGGAAATCAATTAAGGGAGGAAGGGAATAAACAAATACGATGGCTACTTGGACGTGGCAGACAGATGTTCCAAGCTCTGAACACTTTCGGTGTCTCAAAGGCAAAACGTTTTTCCAACAATGAGGAGACGATAAGGGGGAACGAGACCGGCGAATTGCTTGGGGTACGAGATGACGCTGTCATTAAAGACAGTGGTGGTATATTGGACGGGCAAGACGGCAATGGAAGCAGCAAGAAGTCATGGGGAAGTGATAGTGGACCACACATTAGGGTTCCATTTCCCGAAACAGAAAGAAAAATCCGGTCAATTTTAACCGAACCGAAAGTCACCAATAGGATTATTGATGTGTCACTACAAAATAGAGAAGATTTCCGAGGATCTGAATTTCGATTAAGTGATCAATTAATTAACGCATCTACGATCGATAAAATCGAATGGGTCCCTGGCTCAGAGACTCTTATTGATAAAACGTTGCCTCAGAAAACGAAGGATTTTGTGATCCAGCCAGAAAATGACTCAAATGAAATGTCATTTAAACAAATTTCAGGAAACCAATTGGGCCATAAGTTATTAACGTCTCCTTCTAAACAATCTGTTATTGCTTCCGATACATCGAATCATGCTTCGTCGAAAAAGTTTAATACAGAGACTCACGATATGAAACTCCCACCAGTACACTTACCGGCAGAAGTGATTGCTGACAAAGGTCCAGGTTCACTTGACTTCATTTCCTCCACTGAAAAACTGGTTTTTCCAGGTAAAGTCAATGAGGATCCACCCTCCTCAAGGGCCAATAAAAGAACATTTAGACCATCTGCATCATCTCAACCAGCCCCTACATCGCACCCGAAAACGACTACTTTCCCTAGTTACCTGTTTGCCAGTGATACTCCCTACAGAGAACCAGTTTCTTTTTCGGACGAGACCCTCAAGAGTCACCCTGATACAAAAGTGGTGCGAAATAAATACGTCACAATGCCTCCCTTAAATAGGAAGCTGTCTACCAAAATCTCTGGTAATGTGTTAGAAGCGGAAGTATTGAACCCTCGGAAGAATGCGGAACGTCCCTCAAGGCCACAAATCACTCGGATTTCCGACAGACCGACCTCAAATAAACACCCATATTCTTCTGTTGGTGGACACAATTCTCATTTGCTTGAACTAAGTGACACGAAGTCTACTTCCAGTGCACTGCGCCAGCTCCGTTCAACCCATTCACTTCCCCAAGCAACTCTGTCTCACTCAAACGCTCCACTAATACTTTCACTTAATGAAATATCTCCGCCACATACCATGAACAAACTACCAGCCAAGCCGTCTGCACCTGCACATTCTACTGCTGAAAGAGTGCTAGTTGATAGAAAATTCGTTCAAGTTCCACAGGCATCTGGTTTAAAGAGCCTTTCTACAGGTGATGGCTCGCAGACAAACTCTCATCGAAAAACAGCAACACTCACCAGGAAGTCCAGTGGATCTCGGTCAGTCCTAGAAGGTGGTGCACGACCTGGCAGCTTTAAATCCCGTCCATGAAGGCGCATCACCTTTTTAAGGATTGCAAAATCTAACAGTATTAGTTTTTTAAGGACATTAAGCCAGAAGGAAGGAATGACGAACAAAACACCATATCGGTTGCTTTATCATACTCCTCCAAAGACAAAGAATCCACGACGAGTTACCGAGGGAGAAATTTACATCAGGCTTCCCCATTTACCTCTTGGTTAACTGCCTTTATCTTATTGTAACTTCAATGAGTGGCTTTATTTGTAGAAATTTAGAGCCGCCTTGTATGACCCGTAAATCAGTCAAATTTCCTTTTCACTTAACTGACGTTATGCAGCCAAAAGGCTCTGAAAGCAAATTTATTTGGTTAAGAGCTAGAAAATCTTCCTGGTACTCGTAGCCGGTTGACGTCGAAGAAACAGATAATGCGTTAGGTGGATGTCTAAGAAAAAATAATAAACCCGACCAGACACAGTGGTGTGAAATATGTGGTCAATACCTGCGATTTAATTGAGGCTTGACTTGACACTTCATGATTCGGTGATTTCTGATCCAGATACGTGGAAGACTTTGGGAGATCTTAGTTGTACTGCTGGCATGGAAATTGACTGCAAAGATATCGCTTTGTATTACCTTAAACTAATTCCAATTAATCTCCTCTTCGTAGTCAAGGTTAACAAATGATTTCACTTTAGACCCTTATGTTGCTGACACTGGAATACATAAAGACGAAATCGGTGACAAGAAATTCAGTTTTATTAAAATACCAGCAAGATGTCCACTTTACCTAATCTCATAAGCAGCAAATTTCCCTGCGCCTAAGTAGTTATGCACTCGGAGCACTGCTATCGAATAAACATTAAAATTTCAATTGGTCAGACGTAGCACGCGACTACCAAGAAGCAGTTTATTTTAAAAATTTCTCAAGTCAAGTTTTTGCAGATTTTTTAAAGTGGTGTAATTGAGATTATCCGAACAGACATGAGATAAAATGTTATCCCAATAATCGAAGACGCTAAGTTTTAGCTTGCAATGATGTGTGGATTTTAATTAATAGATTGGATGGTCCTTCCTTCTATTAAAAAGACACGTAAGAAGTCATTTTTAGGCTTCGAGTTTTAAGGCATAATTAAGTTCACTATCTTACAGAACATGCACTGCTCAACGGTGCTCGTAATGTGACTTGCCATGCATGGATGTGGCTGATTTCATAACAAAGCAGAATTAAGAGCCTTTCGAGAAATCGTTTTTTTTCAGTACTATTTGGAATTAAATTTGGCCCTATAAAAAGTGGTTGGGGATAGGTAGTTTTGGAAAAGCCCATTAATTCACTTCACCACAGTGCACGAGAGAAACTGAGCTTAAGACACACAATCCCGGAATCAGGCGTCCGACGATCTTCAGTACTTAGTGCTCATGGTTTAGTTTTACTGCATGGGTACGAAATAACGCGAATTAAAGTACAATTGTGCAACGTAGGTCAACATTGCTTGAGGTTGAGGAATCGAATCCTGGCCAGAAGTATTAGTATGCCTTAAAAGGGTCACAAAATCTGTGAGTCTATGCTGAAACTCCTCTTAAGCACCAATGCGATGCCGAGGATGACAGCAGTCACCTTTTGAGTGTCATTACTAGTTACATTCTCCTTAATATTCACCTGTGCCCAAACTAGAAACAACTAGCTAGAACCAGGAAAATGCCGATCTCAAAAAGAGATGCTCTCTACAAGTTTTACTTGCTGTTGTTCTCTTCATTCTGCTCTAGTTTGAAGACAACAAAGCTCCTTTCGAAGGAACCCCAAATATCTTTTTATTTGGAAACGTGAATTAAAAAACGAAATGCAGACAAACAATGGGGCTCCAATTTCAGAAAGGCCTGTGGATTGATTAGTTCAAGTATGATTCAATCCATTTAGTGCATCCATTCACTGAGAAAGGCCTGGTAGTTTACCCGGTAGTGGGAGTACAATGATATTAACAACTTTGGCCTGACTCACTGGTAATCCCACAAGCTCACCTTAAACCTTCCATGTGGTGTCAGTGTTAGCGACTTTTTCTCAGGCTGTGGCCTCGCAACATCGCCGTCTGTTGTCTGTCGAGGACATCGGCGTATTTTACCATCTGTAAGTTGTATGATTTGTGTGTCCAATCCTGACCATGTTCTCGACCCCTCCCCCTAGATAATGGACAAGAACTCGATTACTTTTGCTTGGCTTGTTGAGGTTTCACTAACGCTCCCATAAATTTTTCTCCTTTTCACAAGGAAGCGTTGACAAGTGGTCGGTGTGAGAATAAACTTACCCTTAAACGTGTTTGCACTTCGACAAGTCTTTGCTCAGTCTTTCAAAGCCAGAACTGCGTGTCATATTATAACAGACGTCTGTTCCTTTCCTGTCTAGGTCACACGAACAGCCCGTTACGCTCAACCTGGTGCAAGTTGCGCTGATGTGCTCCATTCTCTTCGTCATAATTGTGGTGGTCGAATTAAGTTGAAGACTTATTTCAAAGCACACAAATAACAAATTTAGCGTAATAACTCCCACTCCACACTTACGCTGGGGTAGGTCTTAATCTAACATCTAACTTCTGAGAAGATGTATTTTTCTGATGGCTGCCATTCTGATATTTTGGTCACTCATGTAGAAACTTTTTACGTCGCCTTAACATTTGAACACCAGAAGTGCACATTATCATCTCCCTCATTGTCTTACCGAATAAAATTAGGAGCCTATCGTCTTATGAACGAGAAATAAGAAATTCGCCACTGCACGCAACTTATATTTCAAATGTGTTTGGGTGTTGACAAGTCTCGATTAATGCCTAAAACCAAACCTTGCCATTTTCCTCCTTAATTCGGTTAAAAGCACATAAATGTTCCTAAAATTCTTATCTGCATTGCAGCGATCGAGTTTGGCATTGTCTAGTGTCAACAAGTCTCCAGTAGATGTTAGTTTATTGGACATCACGTATAAGTCAACCCTTTATAAGATTAGATTAGCGTTCTTCTGAAATGTTATGCATCAGCTTGATTAATTGCAAAAAAAAACTTCCACGTGACATTTTGTGAGGAAATGAAAGGAAATATAATGAGAACGTATCTAATATCTTTACAACGCAAGGCTAGTTATATATAGCAGTACAAAATACATTCGAGTGAATAAGCAGGGGCAACTAAAACAACAGTCAAGTTAGAAATGATTTCGAGCAAAAACCTGTGTTTTCAATGAATTTTAGGATCACTCACAACTGCACCTTCCAAGGCGCTGACCCAACTTGGTAAGGTAAGTGCTACTAAGGGTTTAAACAACATAAATTTAAAGTCCGATTTCCTTTTGGTTTTTCTTCCTCCACCGTGGGATAACACAGAATTTTTAGTACCCCTTAATTTACTCTTGCTAAAAGAATTCTGCTTGTAGACAAAGCACGACCTCTGCAAACCACTTAGAGCCAAATGGTGTTTGTGTTGGGGAAGGAGGTTCAGCGCACATTCGTGAAACTGAATCCATCCAAGTGAAATTGAAGCAAAAACGGTGACTGATCGGCTTCGGAAGGTTCTAAAACTTCCAGAGCCCTGAGATAAAATCGCTGCTCGAATCGTGTTGCACCGGTAATCCAAAACACCGCTTTCGGAAACTTTAACCCCTTTAGGTCTCTTGGCTTGTCTTCGACGGAGACATGACGCAAATTTGCCACTTCGTCATTAATGGGGGAAAACCGACCACCTCAGATTTGGTAGTCAACAGGCGTTACTGCCACTTATAGCATTGCTGTTTCGGAAGGGCTCGTTAAAATTTTGTTCGGACCCATAGGCCTGATCAGAAACCCTATTGGTTGCCCAACTTAGGGTTCATTTAACTCCAAGTGGGCACGAGGCGGATTTGGATGCAGGAGGGCGCGGTGTTGCTATGCCCCCCGCCCTCGCATGGATTGTTGTGAGGTCAAGCAGTGGTCGCATAGTGCCAAAAATGCCGCCGTCCATTACTCATTCGAGCAAATATTGTTTATTAAATCCAATTGGAATTAGCTAATTGGTGGAACTTTTTTACGTCTTTAGTGGTTGGTTTGTACTTAGGAATAAGGCGGTTGCCCACGCTACCGAAGTTAAAATGATTATAGTATTTAAAATAGAACGCGAATCCCGTTAATAAAAAAGATTCTGTGCATTAAAGTCAGGTATATTTATGCAGTGGATGAAACAAATTCGATAAACTGATTGGTGAGAATTCTTCTCATTCACAGTTTGGTGGTTTAAAACGCGCTCTGCCGTCCTGATACTACAAATAGTTTAAGAATTCAGTGGAAACCATGAATAAGCCACTCGGTTTGAATTTTAAATCCACCTCAAACCAAAAATTTGATATTTCATGTTGGCTATTCACACTTAAATGCTATTAACAGGTAAAACCCTCACCAGGTAAAAATTAAGGACGTACAGTGACTGGCTGTAAAGTTACTTACGAATTCACTTTTGTTCCATCAGTGTGCAAGTAGTTCAAGAAACTAATTGAAGCTTCATGTTTCCTCTCAAGGCATGAATAAATGAACAACCCGTTGAAGTAGACACCAGATAACTTTCTTAATACAACTTGTCTCAATTCACCCCAATCACATCGCCTAAATTTTGACAAAGGCACCAAACGTTTTCCCTAGATCACATGCACCTAAACTGAGTGGGAGAGCGTAGAATCTATAATAGTTTTCCTGAGACCCGGGAGCACTCCTTTAGCGTAAAATTGTCTTAGCATTACCCTGTTTAGCATAAACGTAATTAGAAATGAAACCTAAAAGGAATGCCTACGTCATATCAAATCGTGGTTTGAAAACAACATGGTTAAGTTTAGCCAGCTATCGGATTGTAAAGCCTCATTTGAAATGATTATATCTCTGCGCTGAATTAAAACTGCATAAAATATTACTGTTGGGCTTTTCTAACAGAAAAAATACAACAAATTTTAATGAGAGGTTTATTAATAGAAGCACTTTCAGGATAAAGTAGTGTGGGCGTTTTAAAATGGTCGCCTTGACATATCAGTCTACGTCATTCGCAAGTATGCAACTTTGCTTTCGCTATTCCATTAGCCACCCAGACGGCCCATCCACCATAATGTGCTATCTCCCAACCCAACCGGCTCTCTAAGGTCGGTTATTAAGAGCCCCTTTCCTGAAATATTCGGAAATTTCTACTTTATCTGATACGATTCAAACATTTCGCTCACTTTCTGTCCAGACCTGGGCAGCATTTCCCCATTTGAGGCAGGTCTTAAGTTCGAATCCTGAGCGCCATGTGCTGATGACCCATGACAAGATTGTAAATCTCCCCACCCCCATTAACCCAATGTTTCAGCGGCCGTGTCTGTGGCTAGCTGCCCAGTGGTGGTCGAACCTCCACCACATGTTGTCTGCATTTGGGCGTCGCACTTTTCATAGCACTGACGTGTGGTGCCGACGCTCACATGTCAAAAAGCGCTCCTCCCATTTCCGTGGGGATGCCCACACTTGACCTAAACTTCTCGAGGTCTGTCATGTCTTCGGGGGTGTTATGACACTCACCCCTGATTTGTATGGAGCAAACTAAAAACCACGGCCGGCTATCTGCACTGTATTTTTACCTCGGTGATTTTTTTGGCATTTCCTGTGGGTAAAATGCAACCTCGGTGTAACTGCTATGGGCTAAATATCTTAATCCACATATATAATTATTACTACCACATAAAAACAAATATCTCCGGTAAGATATCTTCCCTCGCTCCACTAAAATTGATCTTGCATTGAGAAATTGAATGGGCATTAAATTAATGTTTAGGGTTTGATCTCATTCAACAGATTTGTGATTGTTTGAGAAGGGCTCGGTCTAGAACTGCTGTAATGGCATTTCGTGAAGACCGATTCGAACGAACCGAGGCTAGGCGATTAGAATCTGGTGCTGGCGTTTTCATTATCTTTGGTAGATACCCCAGTTTTCATCAGCTTTGAAAGAGTAAGATAAACTTCCATAAGGTTAATAGCTCACGTCAAGGTTTGAACGCCACTTAAAGCGTGTTTATTGTCAAAAGCCGGGTTTTGTGTATCAGTTATTTAAATTCTTGATTGGGGCCTGCCGAGAAGAAGTCGGAGAGTTTGAACCTGTCGAGTTTTCTAATCGAACACCCGAATAAACGAAGCTTCATAACGTTAAACAACACCTTTGTATTATCACCACTTAGACCTCGCGTTGAATGATTAGGACAATATTCGCCCTTTATTTAGTATCACAGAAACCTGCAGAAGCGCCTCTTATGCTTGGAATTTCTCTTCTGTTCAACCAATTTTTCTACCCACATGAAAGTGCAGTCACGATCTCTTGCTGTTTTGTAAATTTATAGCAATGCCGGATCTATAACATTGCTCGTCAGCTGTACACATGCGTAACCTGTGAGAGACAGATAGAGATGTAGAGGGAGAAAACAGATAAGAAAAAAGAATCATCGATGAAAAGTTAGTGTTGAATTAGTAAATTGGCTGGGCCGTGGCATTTTCTGTCGATGGTGTCTCCTCCTGTTCTTGCTGCCCTGGTCTAGTCGCTGAAATATAATTAGTAGTAGCACTAGGTGTCGTCGAGGTCGCAGCTATTTGCGACTCCTGTGAGTAGACGGGAGTTTCACTCGAGGTGGGGTTCGGATACATCCTTGCGCTTTCCTGGTAGCCTGTTCTCTCTTGAAGAAATCGTGTCGAGTATTGAGTAGAATCAGTGCCTCCTTCTTCGCCCTCTCCTCCGTTATCCGTTTGACCTTGAAAGAAGGGTCGTGGGAAGGGTGTCTTTGGGAGCTGCTGCCCATCGAAGGAGTAAGCACCACCAACTCCACTAGCTTGGTGGAAGTTGGAGTCCCCAAAATATCCCGAAGCCGGTGTATTCGACTCCCCTGAACTCCTGTAAGGCGCGTGGTGCTGTAGCTGATGGGAATGCGAGTTATTTGGATAAGTGAGAGGAAAACATGTGGGTTGTGACACGCAATAAGGGGAGGCCTGGCCACCACCCATCGCAGCCATGGCCGCGGAGGCAACGGCTGCGGTGTTATCGACTGGGGGATAGCCAGTGGAGGATGAAGATGAAAGAGTGTACGCCGAAGACACACCATCCAGGTAAGAGGACATGTATCCCGCCATTTTGTGTGGATGGTAGCCAGCTGCAGCCGCCAAGTGACTCGCTGCTGTTAAGTGACTGAGTGTCGGTTTGATCAAATAGTCCAGACTGAGCTCTTCTAATTCTGAGAAGCCACCATTGGATCTACACTTCTTGGACTTTTGTGAAACTTTGCGATTGCGCGTCTGAATGCCGTCCTTCTTCATTGAAATGGGTCGCTGTACCTGTGGGAGGAAGACCGAAAAGCCATACAGAACATATTAATTAAACCCTACTCATATACGCCATATGGACAGTTGAAAATTGTTATTTACGGACACCCCTGCGTTGTCTGACGGCCTAATGCGCTGTTGCGGACGCTCGGGTCCCTCGTCAACTAATGCATTACACCCCTCTCATCCCACTTGAAAAAACCGCGCGGGACCGTGTGAGTGCGTGAGCCCGATCGTCTAGCCCTGGCGCCAAGAGTCTTGGCGCCATACGACGTACACACACACGCACCCCAAATGGTCTGGTCTCGTCTACCCCTTCTCATGACTATGCTCAATCTGTGTGAGAGCGAAATTCATGCACAGGTGGTCAGTAGGACGGGGGAGCGGGGCCTGCATTAGGGAGCCACTCCGGGCATTTTCCAATCACAGAGGAGAGTAGGCCCTTATTTCTCGCAATCTGTCTTGTCAAACTAATCAATTCGAAACTACCCATGCTCCCCTACCACTCGTTGTACCAATGCAGCTGGAGTTGGCTAAGTGGGTCAACTGCAGGAAGCTGTATTTCAAAGTAGGTATCCTCATCCTACATTAAATACCAACATTCATTCACAACACCCCATCAAAAATAGGGTGCATTTAGGGAGCCAATGCCAGTAAAATACACCAACCCATGTTGCCCTGTTCTCTGCTTAAATTCGAGCTTAAATGTAAGCCAGCGACTAACACAAAATTTTCTAAGCTAGTATTTTAACATAACAGTCCGAATCACAGTCAAATATTTTATCGAATATACTAGGTAGTTTTGTAATTTCCCTTAAGGAAGAAAGTGCTTACGCTGTGTAATTTGAAGTAAAGACCACACGCATTGCATACGGGTTCGCCGTTGTTGTTCCGGCGCCAGAGGGTAGTTGTCGCAGTGTGGCAGTTGGAGCAAACTGTTCCAGTGCGCCGGCTTGAAGATTGCTAAACAGAAGGAAATGGAATAACATCATAATGGTCGATTAGAAGTGAAAGGTTCGAGTACTTCGCGTTGTCAGCCCAGACATGCCCCTTATCGAATCGACTAGCCAACTATCATGAAAGACATCTTGAATTTCACTCCTTTTTCTTTGCATATTTCTTGCCTTCTGGATTTTATTGAGGGTATCCATAGTCGCCTTAGACCAATGTCCCTGGCATGTCATATACCATGGATGTCCTGAATTAATCAAGTGAATGTCATTCTTAGGAAATACCATGAAATAAACCAAAACTTCGACCAAATTTATGAAGCCGTTAACATCATCCAGAATGACTGGGAAACTTGTCCAAAGGCATTAGGACTAGGTGAGAGCAACTATTGACCGCCGCCTAACTCACCTACTAATTATTTGTGATTAACTGATAAATAGTAATTGGACCACATCGCCAACCACCGTGACACGGTTGAGGTGCACATGCGTTAAAAAATTCGTGGAGTTTGGGTCAGGAATTAAACGGTCGATGAGACACCGCCTGCCATCTTTTGCTCTTGGAAATTCAAATTTGTTTCGTCTGAGGCTTGGATCGGGTTAAAAATAAACAAAGCGCCACTACGGAACCTTATTCGGGGAATCTATGGGAGATATTAACCTTACACTAAATTGGAATTTCAATCAAATCTGTTGTAGATAACTGATCTCAAACAATGACCACATAGGTGGTTTGTCGAGTAAGTGGTCAGGATCTGACCAATTTGCTGACAATGTGGCACAGAAACCTCCAAAAGAGAGCTAACAAGAGCAGAGAGCTTGTTACGCGAAGACATTAAAATTTGTTAACACCAGAGTATGAGTTGCAATTATGCCTTTCCAACTCGATGATTTTACTCTTGCCCACTTGTCATGGGATCATTTCTTATAATGTCGTAACAACCTGCCAATTAATTCACCAAATCAGCATGGTTGCCAAGAAAATTCCAATGTCGCACTATCCCACCAGCCTAATTGCCCAGCCTTTAGATTAACTCCTGGGTTAGATCTCAACGTGAGTCGTTGGTTGATTCTCAAACGTCCTCCTGTATGCGGCCATAATTTCGATTAAGATTCATGAGAACAGAAAAACTATGAAGACCCATGTAGATAGAATGGGCATTGAAGGTAATCAATTTGAGCAGAAGATAACCTATGCTCACAATAGTGGAGGTGACTCGAAACGTTTTTGACGATGTTTAAATATTCGCAGACAGATTTATCATGTCGAAAGCTTAACAACAGCGCCTTAATTGAGTTATAAAAATATGTGATGGCAAAATCAAATTTTCTACGCATCTACTGGAACTCGCGTAGCCTAGACGACTTTTAGATTTTTAAATAACTTATAAGAACTAGTTTTGGCTGAATGCTTATTCAGTTACAGGTATTTGTCCAAGTCGGTGACAGCACCCCTGCGCGATGAGTGCTGTGTCTGTTTTGGGGGACACTTCAGCTAGGACTGCAGCAGATTTAGAGTATATGTGCGCGTGAAGATTCTCCTGTCATTCCCAAATGTGTTCCCATATTCGAATAGGAAAACGAGGACACCAGCGTTCACAACTCGGCAAAAACCTATTCTGCTGAAACAAGGTGACCGTCGCACCACTTGTTTATCTTCCAGAAACTGCACATTGGTGGCGACCTCAGCTGCCCACGTTTGGACTACCGCCCTCGTGAATCCCACGGTATTCTGTAGTCAATCCTTGTTCAGGTCACGTGATAACCTAAACCGGCACATTGGTAGTTGTTTCAAACTGGGGTTTTTGCCAGTTACAATCGGGTCAATATGTGAAGAATCGACTGAGGCCAGAATTCAGATGTGACTTGGGCTTGACCTGTGGCCTCATTAACATTCGACATGGTGCGGTTGCTGCCAGACTTTTCGCATTTTGTTTAAGCAGTACTTTTAACACTGAAAAGAACCAGCAGCTGATTGTACGTGTCGCAGATGCACTTTGCGTGAGCTTTCACCTAGTTTTTCATCTAACATTTGACTCTACAGCACTGTTTAAGTTATGAGAGTTTACATTTAAATTACTTGACCAAATAACTGGACGTTTGCTCAAAGTGTCCGTTGCTCAGCCACTTCGGTTGACTACCAACTTAGGTGCTTGGAAGGCGGAGGCGCAACAGTCAACTGGAGGACCCCTCGTGATATACACTTTTAACATGAAAATATTTGAGGCAAAACTACTGGATTTGATAAAAACCACGTGTTTTTCGCAAATTTCACGAGGGTTTTAATTATCCAGTAGTCCGGAATCAGCTTTCTCTAGTCAAAATGTTGCGCCATGCTGCCACAACCGAAATAACGCCCTCAACGCTAACAAATAACCCAGCATTCCCTGGAAGAAAATCTTTTTCTCTGCACGCAATTCCACAGACTTGACAATGGACGGATAAGCTGTCACTCATATTCAAGCAAGAACGTCTTGCACACGTGTCTGTGTCGTTGAGTTGATCAACCAGTTCAATTTGCCCATCATATCTTGTCTACCAACCTCGTTTTTTTGTATTTTTTGAGGTCGTCCCACTATTCCTGAGCCAAAATTTAGCCAAATTGCGTGGGCATTATTTCCGCACGTAGGAGGCCGGGAGGGGGGTGGAGTGAGGCAAAAATATTGTCATTAGTCGGCTGTAACGTGGTATCACCTCTGCCATCAGCTTCCAGCCACACCGGTGAAGCCTGAAAGCCAAAAATGGCATTGCTCCTGCACGCAGCTTTACAAAGGGACGGAGAGAATAATACATCCAGAGTCCTGTCGCAAGTTGCGTGCAGCATTGATGATCGGCGCCGGGGCTGGAGCATCACGCAAACCACGGACAAAAGCCGAGCTGCTGCATCCTTGCCGTGGCCATTCGGGAGAGAGGATAGGCTGAGCCATCAAATAGCCAATTATTTTATGCTCGAGTATTACTCGACGCGCCACGTCCACCAACTATTCATCACTGACCACCACCACCACCACCATCCAGTCTGCCTAATTGCTTACCGCATGCAATTTGCCTGACTAATGGGTTGAGAACCCTTTTTCGAGATTTTGAGCTGACAAACCTGCGGAACTGTAATGAAGCAATCACGAGACTTAACGTGTGTCCCATGTAGCGTTAGTCAGTCCATACATTTGAGTAAGCCTAAAATGTAGGCTTAGTCTAGCAGGAAAGTTATCCATTCCTAGATTGACAAGATTAAACTAGAGCTAAGACAACTGATGCCAAATAATTTCACATCGTCATGGATTTTTACGATTTTACTAATGATATAAGATTAGCTATCATTATTGTCCTATGTTTCCTTTGCATAAACACAATATCATTAAGGATGAGGTATTTGTTTTGCTTCAGTAAGAAGCCTATACGAACACACCGCAAATTACTGAGACCTTGAAATATATTCTCCCATGTTTTCGTGAACCTAACTGAGTCAATGACCTGGTCCTTACAGTATATCTAACAACCATAGAACACCTTGGTTGTTGACACCGATTTTCTTTGAACGCCTAACATGTGAAATCAGAAATTGAAGCTCAGTGACCTTCTGTTTCGTTTGTAACCTAAACACAATCGAACACCTTAATCAAACCCCCTTATCAAAAGGTTAAATCAGTGTTTGTGGGCTTACAGGGGAACGGGGTCACCCCATGTCAGAGAATTGTGTCCACTGCTAACCACGTCCCCTCCTAACAGATGCTCACTAATTCGGTTCCGATTGTTGCCACAGCACAGCCATATAGAATTAATTTTTCACCGTGGACAACATACTAGATGTTTAACTAACCAGCGTAATTCTTTGAATTGCTAGCTTATGCATTTGCACCTCCCTGCAAATTATTTTAGTCGGCGTCAATTTAGTGCTAGACAGACTCGATTGTGGAAGATAACAATCATTCAATGACTACCGTAGATTCCAGGAATGATAGAAATCTACCAGTCCCTTTGAGTTTCTATATGTGGTTTCCGGAACTGACCTTATTATTCTCTCCTTGAGGGAGAGAGAATGAAGTCTGTCGTGTTTCCTGTGGTCTTGACAATGAGACGCGTACCTACACCCACTTCCGTTGCTTTATCACAAAACCACCATCAGGAAGTATCCGCTGAAGGCTCCGCCTGCCTACTTGTTTTATAAGCGCGTAGTAGATTAATATCCTCGCAAATCTGGTGTTATTATGCTGATATGAACAAAACCGGCGCAAACATCACAATTCGTTTGACATCGGGCCCAGTTTGTCATAGCAGTGAAATGCTAATTTAAATCGGAGTCACAGGGAACGAACCAACTGCCCACTAAACTGCAAATTGGTGCGCGATTTAAAAAGAATGCCTACGTAAATTAATTAAACCATATTACCTCCAGTTGGACTTTGGCTGATTAAATTAGGCAGAATTAGTCGGCTAATTCAAAAATTGGAAAATGCTTTTCTTTCTAGAAAAAGCGAACTTACCAGTCGCCGTTTTGGCTTTATTAGAGGACGATTTTGGCCGTTCATTTTCTGATAGAGGCCGCAGGCATTGCACAAGTAATTCCCCTGACCATCTCTCCGCCAAAGAGGAGTTGTTGTGGCACCGCAATTGACGCATTCTCTACCCTCTATGATAGAGAAAATAATCGACTGTCAGCTGCAGTTGCCGTGGAATGCCGAAACAACTGTCTTACAAATATGTAGCTCTTGTTCAACTAGTAGGAATGTGATAACGGGGCCACTTGCAAAAAAATCAGAACTACACCGAAGGATCCGTTTCCTCTGAGGCAAAACGCTCACCTAATGCTCCAAAACGACCCTATTGGAGACAGAACTAGCATTGCCCTTTTATAGAATTTGATCCACTTGGTAGTGCCAAGGATATTCTTTTAGCCTATGTATGTTTTATCGTTAACAAATTACCTCTGAGATCCCACTCTTGGAGTCAGTATTTAAATAAAATAATGTGAATAAAATCACTTCCAAGACAACACTTTCTCACCAGTTATTGACAGCTTCTTGCCCTTTGATAGCCTCCCACCTGCAGTCAGTCCACTAACCGTAGCACGAAGCGGGTTTGCTGGTTGTGAGGCCAAAAATCCTGGTGGGTGTTGAATCTGCTGTTGATGTTGCTGGTGGTGTTGTGACGGTGACTTCCCTGAGGCCGCCGCTTGTGCCACTACCGCGGCTGCAGCCATTGCCGCCGAGTGGTAGGCTGCAGCCACCGATGTAGGCTCTGGACTGACACCCCTATCAGTCTTATAGGCACCCACCCCACCTCCTTCGTAATACCCCTGTTGGTAGGTGTTCTGTTGGTACTCGTACGAGTTCCTCTTTAACATTTCCTGTTCCCCTAGAGGAGACGTGGGTGTGGGAGCCTTAACCTCCCAGGGATTAGGCTGTTGATGCTGCCAGTACCTCCCATCTTGACTGTCGCGGAGACCAAACAACGCCTCTTTCGTATACTGAAGGAGATTTTCAGGATGCTGGTGATGGTGTTTCCAGTTGTTTCTCATCCACAGCATGGCTTCCAGGCGTCTATTGTTCGCCTCTGTTGTGCCTGCGGACTCGTCTCCGGAGTGTTGCGGTGGCTGCTGCTGCTGTTGCTGGCCATTGGACGCTTTTACTTCGTTCACGGGCGAGGAGCTGGTGGACGGAGGGGTGAGAGTACTGGAAGATTCTCGGTGTTGTTGATGCTGTTGTTGAAGTTGCTGGCAGGTCGTGTTGGTGTTGAATGCGTCCGTGTAACCATTGGGGTAAGATTGCCGCTGGTGGAAATACGATCCATCTTGACGGTAGCTGTTAAAGCCTGCAGCTGGTGGAATGGTTTGAGAAAGGAAAGTATCGGGGCGAGAGAGTTGGGACTGGTGATAACCGACTGACTGAAAGGCCGCGTAGCCGGGGTAGAGGCCCTCCTGAGGCCAGCGGGAATCAGCGGGATGAGTGGGTAAAAGCGACACTGAGTCTGCAGTGTGAGCCATGCCTAGAACCTGGTATAAATGAAAAGCACAGTGGGATGTGATGAGTGATTCACTTCCTTGTAAAACTTTAACAGGTGTAAGCGGACCCACTGTCGTGTTTACACCTTGCGTGATCTCAGCAGACGTGCGGACGGGACTGGTAGATAAACAAGGGGGTGCGAATACGTGATATTAAAACGTTTCACTGGCTGACAAATAGCGTGTAGGCTTAAAGGGCCATCGTGAATCAAATACGGGAGATCATTATTGGACCTACAGAGGCAGATTGCCGCTCAATTAATTTTTACATAAACACGAAGGTTATGCGAGGATTAGAAGATACTCAGACAATGTTGTAAGTAGACAAACGGGTTGGAAAAACGAACAAAAATCTGCGAGTTTTCACAGAACAAAATAGGATGAGTCCTTTAAATTGATTATAATTTTTTAATTAAATGTCAGTAATACGTTTCCAGTTGAAGGAACCTGCAGACTGTAAGACAATGCAAGTTTGTTCTTTGCGTGGTTCATACAGCCTCACGAGATGATGCAAAGTCCTTTGTAAATGACAACAACTCCGAAAACTCCAAACCAAGTGTCTACAAAATTCCAAAATTCGTGGTTATATGAAACCATACTAAAACCCACGTCAGTTATCCCCTCAGCCACCATATACTGTCCCTCGCACACTTTTATTTGCTCAATTTTATGGCGTGTGGGCATTTTGTAACTTTTTCGCCATTTCTCTCCCATACTAACACACACAGCGAGCATGTTGACCCCGGTGATGTTATGCTAGCCACTTTATGGCTCTGCATGGGGTGGGCAGGGGCGCGAGAGTGTTGTGGGGGCGGGAGGGTGACCATGCTGGGAGCTACTGGTCCAGCCTCGCGGTGAAGCGCGGAGAGCGCGATCGTTATCGCGAACGCCTGCAAGTCAACTGAAGGTCGGGTGGTACTGACATGATCCACTGGGCACACGAAAACCGTCCACCGAATTCTGGGGGTAGAGAACACTCTTTTTTGGTGTGCACAATTTCCACCCAAGCACAAAGATTGGTGTGAGGACATGGAATGATCCATTTACCTCTCAATGGCACCTTTTGAAGGTTTGGCCTCAGGTTGTGTGCAAAACTGCCCAGGGAAAAGATGATGCGTATGCTTGCGATGATATGTTCCCCGGTGACGATTGATGCATCTATTTCCCTTCCATACTTACCTCAAATTTATTGAAACCTAAACGTTTTACGCTCTCCCCTTCGAACACCTCGAACTTGAGTAGACAAGTGGCTTTCTTCCAGGCAGTAAAATGCTGTAGGAGTCACTTAGGGGGTAAATTAATTGACAGACAATCCCCGTTAACTTGCGGAAATTTACTTCTCCAGGAAGCAGGTATCAATTGATACCCTCATTTCCGCTTTATGATTGGACTCCAGGAGTTTCGACAGTCACGCCTTGTGCGGGTTTACTGTGAAAAAGATACGCATGGGGCACCAGTATGTTGAATTTCGTCAATCTACTGTTAGGGCGTATCGCGCTGGGAGAATGCTTTACCAGCATTGACTTCGCCGTTGACTTTACCTTACCCGCAGCACAACTCTGTCCCATGCCTAAGTCAATGATAAGTTGCAGATAATGCTCTCAGCACCACGTTGCCTTGTAAAAACGGGGTATTATTGGAAAGTCCCATCTGGAAGAGACCACAACAGAAGTTAATCGAATTTTTTCACCAAACGCAAGTCCATGGGTTCAGCTAATCCCGCAGGTAGGCTTTCAGTGGGATACTATTGCAGAAATCGAGTTTGTTCGTATAGGGTGAGCAAAGCCATCATCACAACGCACAAACTGTCAAGCGAATAAGAAAAATTCAGTAGGTTTGAATTTTTGAGCTACTGATTCAGAACCAAGTTTGACAGTGTGGCAGGCTGACAAGAGCGGTCTTTACGGTGGCCTTCAGGAACCCACAGAGTTTTTGGTGGTACCGATCACTGCTTTGATCTCTACCTCTTTCGATCACCCAGAATTATATTTGACTGTGAAAGCTATGTTCTGAGCCGAATAGGAAAACGACTTCGTCAATAGTGGAATAATTCCTCAAATAAGCAGTTCTTTTTTCAAGGGAGGCCTGTTTTATCAGGTTACTTACGGCTTGACCCTACCCACAGTTGGCATCACAGTCCGTCAGTGTCGATGCTATGAACCTCGGAGTCGAAGTGCAACGGAGATTGAGGAGATAAATAAGGGACAAGAGGAGATAAGATCTGAGTGTGAAAGACGTGCCTGGTACGGAAGTCCAACAGCATGGAGCGGGCCTTGAGTGCTCGCGTTCACTTATATGCTCACGGCTATCACCCAACAGGCATCTTAAGGGCTAGAAACAGGAAGGGGAGAAAAGGAGGGTGGAGAGGAGGCAGGCCCCCACTCTATGCATTCTCACTTTCGATGAGGTGACGTTGCACTTGATGCCATCCCTCTCCCTCCTTCTCTGGGTGCGCGCTAGGTAATTAGGAACTCGTGTCAACGAACAAGCGATTGCGCTAATGCATTTTTGGCTCACCGTTCAATTTATTTCTCGAGGTGGGTTTTGTAGCACTCGTTTTGTGCGATTGCACCTTCATAGTCAGCGGGAAGACATAATGGGCTGATGACAACAGGATTTCATTCGGTGAATCGCATGTTTGCCTCTCTAGCTTCGGTTTATGGCTTCACGGCTGCTCATTTCATTAAACAGATCTACTGAAATATAAACTATCTTCAGTGCATTTTGTTTCCTGATTTGTCTTTAAGCTGCAACGGTCTAGCAAAATTCAGTGGCAACTTCCCTCGTGCACATGGTTTTGCTAATCCCTCTAAACTAGGGTTACTTTTGAAATAAGGCGAAAATTACTGACAATCAGGCGATCTTTGGTGCTGTTTTTTAAGGTATAAAACGTCTCCCACCATGATACTGCATCGGTTAAGCAAACTTGGACCTAAATTATCCTATTAATCACCTTTCGACTAGGTAATTAATGAATTAAGACAATTGTTCATTTTTCTCTGACTGGGATCTTGATCATTCGGGTTACCGGGGTCCAGGTGCTTTTCACATAGTCCCAATAATCTGTTTGTTTTCAGGGGATCAAATAGGCTTGTTCGTTCAGAAAAGACTGGATGATCGCTTTCGAGTATGCAATTCATTCTTGATCAAACTTTCATATTCTAATCCCAAATTAAAATTCCGCAAGCTCAATACAAGAGGAGCCTTAAAATAGCTCCAAAACCGGCCCAGGTAAGACGCATGGGAGCAGTAACTTGGTTGTCCCTACTATGATGAGGCGCAAGTTTCACTCAATCCACCAACGAAGCAATCAGTGTTCCTTAAAACAATTTCGAAGTACAGTGAAGGCCTTCCTGTCATACAGTTCATTGTCTCATCGTTGATTACGGTTTTCATGGTTGCGCTGCGGGAAGGGAAGAGGTCTCACCTCGCGCGCACGCGCGCTCTCATGTTCGTTTGCAGTGCGCTCGGGAAAGAGGCAGACGGTTTGGTAATGACTGTGGCAGCGCAGGAGCGAGGCGCGTTGGCGTAGTGCACGGAGCGGCATGCGCTAGGCCTGTCTCCCGCCCTCCCTCATCCTCTTCCCTCTCACCACCCACGTGTTTCACTCCCCTCCCCACCTGTCAATATATGGATTGATTTTTACCACAACCAAAAAATTACGTTGACTAGGGGGCAAGCACATTGATATTTCAGGAGGGGCTTAGCTCCCCATAACTTTGTCGAAGTGCTAATAGGAAATTCAGGCACATGCGAACAAATCATTCTCTACTGTGGGCATGCGGTTTAGGTTTAGTCTGGGGTGCTTTCATCGAAGGACTTAATTGATCGAGTTAAAAGAGGCGCATGCATGAAATTCTACCCGGCTAGAAACATCGGCCACAGCCTTGTCAGAGCAAACGAGCCATCACTCTCCAAATCTGAGTTCAACAACTCTGGTAGACCGCAACATTTTGGGCCTACTTCTCATCGCCACAAGTGGTTCAGAATCACGAAGCAGGGGCTTCGCCAATGAGCAGGAGTACAATTAGTAGTGATCAAATCAGTCAGAATTTGTTACCCACCTACACTGAAATGAGCGTTATAATCACCTTTTGACTTCTTCAAGAAAGCTGAAGAAGCGTTTACCGTGTTCAACTCCACACCTGCATTTCGCTTCAGTTAGTTGACATTTCCTGCATCCACATAAGGGGGTGTGTAGCACGTCCCCTCTCCCCCTCTTAAGCATTTCAACCCAAATTTCCCAAAACAGTCTCCGCAGCTGATTGCCGTACAGTGATAAGGCCAAGTTTAAAAGCCTGGTCTCGAAGATAGCATCGGAAGTTGCCTTTCTATTGTGTGCGTAAGAGGCGCATGCGTGCGTCCATCCCCCCGCCACCTCACTCACCTCCGCACCACAAATCAGAGCCATCATCACCAAACCACACACACACTTTCTGGTGGGCACCACAAACCCCCTCAGTCAACTCGGATGCGCACGTGGCTGTGCGTTTATCAGCGCCTCAGCATCGTACCACGGTGGATTCGAGGTGAAGGAGGGGTTCCATGAGGGCACACGCGATCCCCTACCACACACACACACACATGCACCCCCACCCTCACACCACCGAAGTCGGATTTCCATGCGGTGGGTGGGTTGCGGTGCTTCTGCATGAAGGAGGAGACGGCTGCGGTGACACCCAAATGCTGCCTCCGTTGTGGCTGCTGTAAAATAATTAGTGTGAAATGGGGGTGAATGTGCCGATAACACAATGGTAGGTACTGCGGACGACGCCGGCTGGGAGAGAGAGGGGGGAGAACCCCGTAGCTCCCTCAAAAAAGGCTAATAGATTCTCCACCCAGGGCAATTAGTGGGCATAATTGAATATGTTGGTTGTCTAACAATTTTTTTTGTTGGGTTAACTTCGCATGTGGCAAAAGACGGTGAGTTTTCAATAGAGACAAGAGCTTAATAATAGTTGGTGCTGTAAACTCGAGATTTCGCGTCTTAGCGAACCGAAAAAAAGTACAAAAAATTGTCACTAACAGTAATATTTAATCAGCTTTTGACCAACCTAAAATGTTTAACAATCGATTGACTTTGGTTTAAACACTTAAATACTATTACCCCCCCCGGGCACCAGGACCAAGTCACCAAGTAATCAGGCTCAAAAAAAAGTACACACGTGGACATCCGTCTCGGCCAATGGGGTCACGAAGTGCGGGGATTCGGCCATTCAGTTTAGACTTAAAGTTTAGTTCATTTCTAACATAGCTTCCTTCTTCCATATCACGACACTACATGGAGCAGCAAAACACTTTTTCCCTAGCTCGAACTCCAGTAAGGAGGTTTGAACCATCACCAATACAGTCTCACCGGTATAGCATGGATCTAGAAAATCTCAGGACCACTGCATATGTTGGCACCTAAGGTAAGTGGTTTAAATAACACGAATTAGAGAAGTTCAATCAAAGACCACGATAGTCTCAACATAACCATCTGCATAAGCCACAAATTTATTTCTAAATTGAGCCTAGGCGTAACGCAGATATTTGGCGGAATCCTATTGGAGGAAATGCAGAGGAAAGCTGCCATCCGCTTGAGGTGACTTGTTTGCGTAAGCGGCGTGGCTATACGCCTAGCTCAGGTGGCGCAAGTTCTAACCAATGAGCACCAAATTCAATAGTTGGGTTTGTGAGAAACCCGAAAGGCCATTATTTAGCCATCAAATAGGGGGAAAGTTATTTGGTCAAACCAGACTATATCATTCGCACCTTTTTCTGGCCTACGGCACAGTTGTGACCAGGTCACTAATAATCCAACAAGCAGTCATCGGGTTGTAATTTCTAAAATCACCCTCCGCTGGACTTCGAGTTCTTATTAGTGAACAGTGTTTAAAAGTGAAAATGGATGGGCGCTTCGCGGATAAGAAAAACTCGAATTATGCAAATCATAAAAAAACCTCTGAGGAACAAAATTATCTATTGAGGATTTTGTCAGAGTGCTTATTCAATTCTGAACTAAAGACCTTAATTTCAAAAACGAGAATGGTTTTAAGTGTAAGTGAAATAAAGATCTGAAAGCCTTGATGAAATAGGCAGCAACTGGTAGCTACCCCCCAGCATGTCCGGTAAAGAAGACTCGAGGGTGCTACTGCCCACCCCCAGAAGTTGCATCAGGCCGTTTGTGAAAGCATTTCAAGACATGGTCTCCCACTATGACCTGTGGGATTCCACCAGAACCTAAATCTCTCGTCAGAGCCTAAACTCACGCCAAATTTGAGTGGTACTTAATTTTCTTGATGGTAATTTGCAGACTCGTGTTTGGTAGCCAAATAGTACCAAGGAAAGAGCACAACCTTTTGGAAAGAACTCAAATGACAACGATGTCAACCATACTACCATTAATTCAATATGAGCCAGTACATCGAGTTTACCCTTGAAAGGGGAATTAATGCCTGAGTAGATGTGCTGGAACAGTCCAATGTTTGCATGCCACCTGCAAACAATGAACGCACTTCATGACAGCAGGCAAATACGCACTCAACTCAACTCCGAGAATAGGGACAGCATGCATGATGCATTGGTGTAGTTTTGTGCCCCAAAATGCCATTCAAAAAACCAATTTTCACACAGCTACTAGGAGGCAACTGGTGTCCGTAGTTACCCCCTTTTCAATTTTTTCCAGGAATTGACATTCAACTCTTAAGACACTACTCAATTCGAATCGTACATTGATGTTCGGCGGTGATTTTGACGTTGGACTTAACCATGGGGGAATCATGTCAACAATGGTCATTTCCAAATGCTAAACGTGGAGCAGCAACAACACACAACAGTAAAAGTTACATTTCAGAGAATCTAAATTGCAAAAAGTTACGAGTGGACGTTAATGGGGGCAGCAAAACTGACCTGGCCACGTTACTTTGTCCAACGCAAGACGGGGTGACAAGATCGGCCCATTGGTCTTCGAGGAACTTCATCAAATCCCTCACACACTCAGCAGGGTTTCTGGGATTAATACTCATTGCGTACATCCTGTCATCGGAGCCATTAAGTTGATAGTAAAAAGGTGCTCTTTTCTGTTAATCAACTTCAAACTCATTTAATTAAGTTTAATTAACTCGAGCAACAGACCTGTCTGCCTTGGCAGCAGGAAATTGACAAGTTCAACGATGACCGGACTTGCGTTTCTTTTGCAGAGCCACATCGGCATACTTCAAAAGTGATGGCTTTTGTGTCACAAATACGCCTGATGCTAATGAGGCGAAAATTCAGCGAGTTTCCTCCGAGTGGTTGTTTAAGAGTGTGATTGCGAGTTGTCGTGGGGACCGACTGCACCTCGTCAGCTCACAGCTAACGCACGCACCCCGTTGCTCCCGGTGAATTTGACCAACTTTCCGGCATGCCCTTTGCTAATAATAACCGCTTAACCAAAGATCAGGAAGTCGCTCCGCATTATGTAGCAGCCACCACTCCCTCTGCCCGGTCAGGAAGTATATTGGACTTCATTGTTGGTTGGTTGGCCGGTTGGATTAGATGAGAAGGGGCCAGGTTTGTGGCACTGCCTACAGATTGAATTCTCGAGCCATTTTGTGTGAGCGCTCTTCGATAACCAACCCAATTGAAACCACAATACGATCACATTGATAATTTCCGGTTGAATATGTTGTCGACATTTAAATTCGTCTGTGTCATTTTCAAATAAATGGATAAGAGTGGCCACGTTTTTTCGAAGAACAACTTACCAGTTAGAAATCAGACATACTAGCAAGGGAATATGTAAGAAAGACAAATTTTTAAAGTTGTGCAACATTCGCATATCAAGCCTAAATCTAGGTTTGAAGTTATCTATATATTCAAACTACATTCATCACCACTGTGCTTAGGCAGCCAGCAACTCTTAAATTGGCTTGGTGACTACAGAGGTGATTAGCTCTGTTTCAGCCCCGGACGACAAGTGAAGTGACAAACTGATTCCAATTTGAGCTTTTGCCACACCTACACTTGGCGATAGAACAGCGAAAGGAATCATAAGTAACTTCAAGCCTTGGTTTTTCCTAGTGGGAAATAAATTTACTGTCCAAATTGACCGCTGCCATTGGGAATGGAAATGAAACGTGTCGAGTCTTTTTTTCAAGATGTGTCAATCAGGACAAAAGAAAGCACTCACCGAATGGCAGTCGCAGTACTGATATCTGAGGCTATATCTGATTGAGACACGAACTGGGTGGTAAATCCAATCTCCGTACGCTTGTGTGTTTACAGAAGAGGCAAATCTGATAAGCCTTTTCACGAGGGGTAGCGGGGAAGGCTGGTGGAGCGTGAACACTCAGTCGCGGGCGATTTAAGATGAACCAGTGGCGATAACACACCCTGTCAATAGGCGTATTATCAGCAGCCGTAGTTTGCCAACAAAAGCAGAACAAGCCGCTCAGGTAGACGGAGGTAGATAGGAATCAGAGATTGGATTTTTGCTCCTCGTGGATGTGAGCGTGTGTGTGTGTGTGTGTGTGACAAAGTCGTTACAACCGCCGCCACAGTGTTGAGTGGGTTGGAGATTGTTAA